TAAGTTGTTCTAATTTCACGACACATAATTTCAATGATTACCTACTGCACATTAAATAGGCACTTATCATAGTCCATTAGTGTATTTTAAATTAAGTAGGTAACCTACCTATAATAACAATATTAAGTTATTTGTCATCATAATAATACTAGTACCTATGTACAGTCTATTAAATTCTTATTTTAAACTCGATCTAACCGGACTGCTTGAATAAATTACTTCTAATCTTCCATGTTTCTATAATGAGGAAGTATTAAAAAAACATTAGTTCCCGAAATCAACCTAGATGTCGCTACGGTACGTTCTTGATTTCTCCATGACAACCCTTCTGGTTTTGTTTCATATTTAAAAGTAAATTAGTTTTCAAAACTCAATAAACAACTCATTATATTTTATTTGTACTTTTTCGTATTTGTATTGATATCTAAGTTTTCAAATTTCAGTTTTTTAATATGTTAGTTAAAAGGAACGGAAATGACTGTCTTTAGTCCATTCGTTTCCTGCAAAAATCAACATTTGCTAGAGTCGCCATCTAGGGGAGGTGCTTTTTTAGTGCTTTTGTTTTTTTTAAAATACTCCCTCATTGTTTCTATCTAGGGCGGTGGTTCTTTAATGTGTAGATACTTAGTTAATTGTCATCATCATCGCCAGCTTATTAATGTCCCCACTGCTGGGGCTCAGATCTTCCCTATGGATGCAATCAAATCAAATCGAATAGGGAGAAGAGGCCATGACCCACCACGTGGGCCCAGTGCGGATTAATGCGTGTGATGAGTAACTGCAAATGCAGCCGGGATCATGGACTCAACGTGCCTTCCGAAGCACGAGGAGCTTGAAATAATATTTTTTTGTGTACACAAGATAACAGTGCCGACACAATTAGCTAATATCCATAAAAATCTTATCTGTTAAAACCCTAAAGGGATTTAAACATTTCAACAGGACAATTTTAATCTGGTTTGACCTTTAACAATTTCGGCCAAATCTTTCATTAAAAGGCGATCACATAATTTATAAAACACGATTATATCATCTTCTTGTTCTTCTGTAGCTTCGTTTACTTTTATGTTTATCCGCTTTTTACATTCTGATAAACTAGTTTTCAATTTTCTTTTTCTAGGAGTATCTAAACTAAGTGATCCAGCAATTTGAATTTGAGTGACGTTATCTGAAGAAATAGCTGATGGAATAGCATCTTCTGTCTGTGTCGAGATGTTGAATGTTGATAAATAAGTTTGTATCTCTTTATCGACTTTAAACGGGCCAGGCAAGAACAAGCAGGGCGTCGCAAACTTTTTTAAAAGTTTACGATGGCTGTTTTCTTGCACATCTTGTACATTAAAATGAATTTCGCATACGAGTACACGATGTCGATGTGAAGTGGCGCTCGCTAACTCCTCGCGGCCTATAATTTTCAGCCATTGTAAGCGCCTAAAAAGGAAACCAAGTTGCATTAGTCATTATAATATTTAAAGATGGATTAACAAAAAATACTGTTTTAAAACAAAGTTATTACGCTCTAAAACCCCTCGTTACCATTCCTATGTCAAAATAAAATATAGCCTTTCTTACCCAGTGATAAATAATGTAGCATTCTATATATTTTAAAACCGGTCCAGTAGTTTTTGAGTTTATTCGTATCATATAATATCATATCGTTACAAACAACAAAACATAAATCTCCTCTTAAAAATATTGGTATAGATTGATCCTAGAAATATCTTTTCCTAATTTTAATGCTATTAAAAAACTTTAGTTCATTAAAAAAAAATAGTAGTAAATGAAACTGTCCAACGCAATAAGCCCGGGGGGCCAATTCTATTAAATAAATTTTGTTTAAATCGAATCGAAAACGGATCGAAACCGAACAAAACTATAGTTTTTAATGGTTTTCCTATTCTACAAAGTGACATACGAAACAATTCCAGTTCTATTTTAGCTGAATTGGCCCCCAGGAGCGAATTTAGAACTTAAAAAAGGTTGTGGTCACAACCACCTTTGGGCACGCCCATCGTGCACTGGATGGTGGATCCGGTCTTGTTTATACGAGTATAAGCGTTATATCACTAAAACCATTTCGAAATCTGTTATTAAAAATAAAGAAGGATACCTATACCTCGTTACTGTTAAAATAATACGATCTCACCTTTCATTTTCCGTAGGTATAGAGAAAAATGAAAGTTCTGGATTCCCTTCTTTATTCTTCCTGCAACCAAACAGAACAACGACTTACAAACTTCTTAACTGAATTCATGATTTTTTGCTAATAAGTGCGATAATAAGTAAGCGAACACAACATCAGGATAACTATTAATATCCTTGACTGATGGAGGCCGAGCGAGGTTGAGACGGCGAGTGTGCACGCACGTACCACACACACATACATACACGAAGTAAATATCTTGGTTCGGAGTCGAACTACTTGCTTATATTTACACTATGATATAACTAAAATTTTATCCGGAAGTAATGTATATAACTTCATATAGACAAGCCAGGCAACTGCCTAGGGAGCTCGTATTTGGGGGGTGCCAGGCGGCATGGTATAACTTTAATTACTTAAACGCATGCAATAATAAACCTTACAAAAATTTCATTTTTGTTCTTTGGACATGAATCCATGTCCGTGGTATTCAAAAGTATTTTACAAATTCTCAGACTAGCAGTACCTACCTAAGGTGTGTGTATCTTTTGTTTTTTGTTTTTTCCAGTGTTTCGTTTAGGACGTCCAGTTTCATTAAGCAGCAGCTGGTAGGATGCGAAATGGAAAATATTTGAAATTAAATGATAAATCCGTCATTCTTTTCCGGTTTCAAGTTTGTATATCTTTAATGATCTGTCTGTTCTGCAGCATTGTTCATGTATTTATTGAAATTCATTGAGTAAATATCTTCATATTATGAATAGATATGCACTGTAAATTAAGAATAGTAAATTCTTTGGGAGCGATTCCGTGGTATTTAACAATACTTGATCCTTGACTAATTAATGAATTTTATATTACGTGTCTAAATTGGAACAATGCTTTGAGTCAGAAATTTAAAAAATATATAGGTGTCAGACTCAGTTCCTACAGCTAATGATTAAGGTAATCTATAACATGTAAAAATTTACATGACACCTGAGTATGGTTTCCATATTCAGATAGGGTCTCGCTCGTTGGGACTTTCTAGGTTTATGGGAAAAATCATAACACCAAAATTTTGAGCAAAAAACCTAATCTGTTTTTAGCTAGAGAATAGCACAGTGGAGTAGAGGATAAGCGGTACGGCCCGCGATCGTTGTCGCAAGAGTTGATCACGGGATGGGTGATCAAAAATTATTACCACAAGCTACTCCGTGCACGGCAAGTCACGTTAAGTCGTTGGTCCCGGCTGCATTTGCAGTCATTAATATTCTCCAATCCGCATTGGACCAGCGGGGACGGTTATGGCTCATCTTCTTTAACCATTCATAAGGAAGGCCTGAGACTCTGCAGTGGAACGTAAAAGAGCTGATGATGATTAATCTATTTTTATTTTCTAATAAGAACATTTTTACTTTAAAAAAAATTCTGGACGACTTTAAATATTGTGATAGAATGTCATAGTAGTTCTAATATAATATTTAATGTCTTATTAGTAGTAAAAGCAAGACATAGTACATACTTGATACTGTAAAACTTACTTGACAGTTGTGCTGTGTCAATGGGGACGTTATTGTCTTCTATCAGGATGTCAGAAATAGATGAAATATTGTTTTCAAGAAATAGCTTAAGCCTTTAGAGGGTCTGCTTTGTTTTTCCGAAAATTATATTTCGTTTATGTCCGAAACACCAAATAAACGCATTTCTCGATAATTTATGATGCAGCGGGGGTAAATTCTGACACTGCCTCTGAGACACGGTTAATCTCCACGAATTTGATTTTAAGAAAATTACAAGAAATATTCGACATTTTGCTAAAAATATTTGCAAAATGAATTAATACGTGTATAAACAGAGCAGGCCATCAGGTGTTACGTAAATTCATATTAGCCCTATGTATTTTGTGTAGATTATTATGTATGCGATGTCATTTTCTTTCCAATGTTCATTTTTTATAATTCTATATGACGCCTCAGGCAAAGGAAAGGAAACGGTGGGCTTTTCACGACACGTAGTCGGTCGGCCGGGCGAGTATACTCTACCATCGATCGATAGCGCGACGTTGCCACTCTGCTCCTCTGAGGTGATGGCGGGCGGGCGGTCACTGTAGCGTCCATGTTTATTTTTATTGTTGTTGCGATCAATTATTATGAAGGAATAATGACACCTGCCGAGTGCAGAGTGTCGTTCGCTCTATTGGTTTGTAACTTGTAACTGTGCACAATTTTTGCAAAACTTATTGGTTGACTGGCAATATTCGCACCTGGTGGGATATAAGAAATATAATCGATATATACCCTTAGACTCAGACCAAATAAAAAGTATAGGTAGGTATCAGACGACCAACTTCCTAACAAAAAATTTCTTCGTAGAACGTGATTGGGAGCCAGTGATACATGACAGCTTCATTCGTTTTAAATATTAAGATCTACTATCGGCAAAGGCATTTGGCTATACAGCCCTGTTTTGGGTAGGTACCTAGCCGTCTTCCTATTTTCCACATTATTTTTACTTTAAATTCCTTTTTTGTTTTAATACAACAATAATAATAAAGCAGACTGATAAGTCTAGCTTATTATTATTGTTGTATTAAAACAAAAAAGGAAAAACGAACACGTAAATGAAACGCACATTTTTCCAATATTATTTATTGAATAATTTTCTCGACAATTCATAGCTACGTTTTTTAGTGGCACAACCTTATGAAACTTTTCAAGGTAATTACAATTTTTTTTAAAGAGGGCACTGATTTTTGCATACCTTTTTATACACATAATTAAGTTTTTTCTAAAATTTCAATTGCCTTTGGCCAGAAAGAATGATGGTGTGTCTTATCTGTCACAGCTCTTTTCCTTTATGTTTTTTTTTGTTTATCGATGCTCCATTGACACTATCAAATAATTGGTCAAAGAATGAAACAACTTCAGCTGTATTTCTTAATATTGTGCTGACGAGCCTGCCATCCACATAAGATGCTGCAAATTAAAATATTCATATAATAATTGTATGAAACTTGATTCAAAACTATTAACTGTTAGTAAATTTCATCTAATACTCACAGAAATTTGCAGTGTAAGACAAAGCTGCAGACAGAATGGCTCAATATTTTTACACAATTTTTTACCTGCAAAAAGAGATATCATATTTAAAATTATCTTCATTAGAGAATCATTATTGTAATTTAAGTGTAAACTATATTAACTACTTGTTACATAATTAAAAATACAGGTCATTGAATCAACACTTGCTCTGATAGAGAATATAGAAGCTGAATACAAATTATTTCTTTTACTTATACTAATTTAAGTTATACTAATATAATAACCAATGCATTACCTTCATCTTTTTAATTTTATCAGGTATAACTCATTGGTCATTTAATTTATGACGAAGCCCAGCTTCAGTGTGATGGCAGTCTGTCTCATTGACATAAATAATATCATGCCATTTTGCAAGTTAACCATCCAATATTAAATTTTTTGTTAAAAAATTGTTCCTGATACATTTTATCAAGTGTGTAGAATCATAATGTTCAAATCCACCCCACATATTTTAAGAATGCCAACTGAAACAAAAATTTAAGAACTTCTCAAATCATAGATAACAATATAAAAATAAGAACCTTCACTGCTTTCATTAAATCTATTAGTTTTCTTTCATATAAATATAATTCTCTGTACCAACCTGTGATTTCAATTTAAAATTTGATCTTGTGTCTTCTTTTAGATTTTTGAGTGCTGATTGGAAAGCTGAGCCTTGGTCATATATTATTACGATGGGATTAAGGTCCAATTCAACAACTTATTCTACTACTAACTTTAAAATATTCTTGATGTTTACAGTAGATGTAGCTCCTTGACAGAAATAGTAACATAAAGGCTGTTGCCACTTGTAAACAGCACCAACATAAATACAAGAGATCTGAAAAATCCAGTTTCTTTTCTTGGTGTTCTACAAATCCATTAATGTTATCTTTAATCCTTATTACTTTTATTATACAAAAGTGCTGTTTCTAATGACATCTCATCAAATATAATGGAGCATATTTTTTTGGAGTTTCATTTGTCCACCTGAAAAAGTAAATTCAAATAGGTAGGTACATATTATTATTTTGTAGTAATACAAAAAATTATAAAAGTAGTATGAAAAACCTTATATGGAATATATTTACCTCTTATATGAAGCCTGGTTCTATGATCAATTTTCTAATCATAGTATTCAGTGTAGTATTGGATGATAAAATAAAAAATTTTGCTTAAAAATCAATAACACTTTAGACTCTGCTTCGATATTGATAAAGCAATTATCTTTTCTTCGGTAGTGAATCACCTCTCATGTTTATTTTTAGAGCACATGCTCACTTGCATTTCAAAAACATTTTTTGCAACTGTTTTCATTTTTTGTGTGAACTTTTCAAATGATAAATTTTTACAAAACTTAAAGGTATTTAAGTATTCTTAACTTTTTTATGAAAGTTCAACTACGTCTTTGGCTTGTTATATTCTTCATAAATTCTCTGGTATAAAGGTGACAATTGGCTTTATTTGGTAATAAGCCTTTTCCTTTTTGTTTGGGTACATTTCACAGGGTCTGTAACATCAAAAGTATTCAGTGAATTTCTCTATTAGAACTACTATTTGATTGAAATAAAGATACACTAAAGAAAGAGAGGTCTTACCAGATAATTTAGTTTGTGTCATATTTTAATCTCCAGAACCAGCAACTAATTTAGTAAACTCAGTGGCTGCAGACACAGGAGTCTCAATTTGTTCTTTGAAAATTACACCACCTATGAAATCAATATTGATTATGTATGTGAGATTAAAAAACAGGATATAATCTTAGATGATATTAGAAATATGTTATTTATATTATAAATTTTTTCTCTGAACAAAACCACTTCTAGCATGCCCGCTAGAGTTAAATAACTTAATGTAATTTTTCTTTATGTGTGTAAGAAAGACAGATCTACTAGACTTTTTTAAAGCAAAAATCTATGTTAAAATACACCAAAACTGCAGCATGAACATTGTTATCTAAATAAAATAAATTAAAAACAAACCTCTGTTCAGTTACACTTTCTAATATGTGTGGTCAACATGACTTTTTCTTGCATAGCTGTGTTCCCAAGTGAATATAATTTCTGTAATAACAAAAAAATCTAATGAAGAATAGCGGTATTCCAAAACACAACATAAAGTGAAGATACATATCATTTTAATTACATTATCTAAAGGTAATAGCAGATTAAACCAGCCTTACCAGTATTGCTTGAAGAGGGTAGGCCGATTGAGAGCCCATCATCATTAAACAATGACGGATATGCGTCACCCAAGAGTCGTGATTTTAGAGTAATGAATCTTGGTACAACGTGTTTGCTACAAATGACACTTCTGCCTGGATTCAAATTTTCAGTATCACACACAGCACTAAGACATTGTAACCACTTGGAGAATCTTTTCTCGTTCACTAGAATCTTACAAAGAATAGCGTCCTGTTCGTACTCTAACAATGCGTGTAACACAACCATAACACAACACACCAATTTCCTAGGCATCTTCTACAAAGAAAAATACTTCGAAAAAAGGAGAGTTAATATTACAAATAAAGCGAAGAGGGTAAGCACAAACGAAACTTTACTCAATCACTTGTAATTCCCTGATATGTAGGTACATACTTTAGTCTTCTTCTTCTTTTATTAATGGCATATCTGCGCATTTCACACAATTTTGCCAATGTGAAATGAATAAATTAATTCCAACAAGTAAAATTAATTAAAGATTAATTAAAACTAAGTATCTTTACTCTTTGTTGTAATGACAGTTTCTGTCAGGTGTCATGTCTCCATCTACTGACAGGGGTGAGGGGCGTGTGGAAATGTCATACATCACTGGACCCCTACGCGATTGGTTTCTTGTACGGAGTTGACGGGCCGTGGTATAGACGGAGTTTTGCCTAACAGAAAAGTGAAGCCGACAAAACTACGCCTTGGCGTATTCGTACACAGTTTCACGCAAACATACATAACGAAACTACGCCTTCCTTATCAGTCTAACAATAGACAGAGTAGTATATATAATATATACAATAGACAAAAATTTCTTACTAACTGCCGAATTGTGTAGTAAAAGGTTATAAAAACCAATCCTCAAAAAATAGAAAGCAGGATGGAATTACATTTCACCCATAAGTATTGGAGAAAACTTATATTTTCAGTAATTTAAAAATAAAATTTAAGCAATTGCTCGGAACACAAAACCTCAGCCAAATATTACCATCGTTAAACGTTATTATTTACCCCGAAATTAAGTAACTTTAATTTTATAACGCGTTATTTCTAACAAAACACAAATTACGTTATGTATTTGTTTCTTGTTGTATGGAAATGATATGTAATAAATTTTGCATTGAAAATGCTACATAGCGATCCAGATCACAGATATTGAAGTGTTAGAATAAGGAAGTAAAAAATACAAAACGGGTTTTATTTTTTACTTCTTTATTTTTGCTAAACGGGTTTGCATTAATTTTTAGATTTCCAAACCGACATCAAAAAGTGAAAGAGAAGTGGATTTCAGTCATTCGTAATAGTCGAAATGAACCTTCATGGAATCCAACTTCGCGCAGCGTAGTTTGTTCGACTCATTTTAGGAGCGATGATATGTATTTTACTATAAAAGGGTTACGTCGAATAAAGCAAAATTCATATCCAAACTTTTCAAACTTTCTATATATTAAAATTTTAGTTAACATAGTGGAAGTTTTCAAACTTAACTTAAAAATTAATTAAATAATCTCTCCAATGTATGGCCTCCAATAATAATTACCTACTCTTAAAGATTTTAGAATATCTATGCTGATATTGACAAACGAATTTACATTACATTATTAAATAGCATAGCGTTAACGTTACCTCTATAACGTCGTAACGTTAAGTTATTGGGGTGTTTTTAATGATTATGGTCACACTGGCACGCACACTACAATTGCTAAAAATCGGCTTCACTTTGTTATTCAGCGAACTCCGTCTTAACTTTTTATTTGGTCTGAGCCCTTAGATGTATAATTATAGTTACTATAATTTTTTAGATGTATACGGTTATAGAAATCCTTATTCTCAAAAGAATTACAAAAATTCACTTACTGAGAATTACAACACATAAACAATTTTAACACCAAGAAAAACGTAACGTGGATTTTTAATCACTGTATAAACTTTTTTTTTTTCAAGTAAAGAAGGTAGTATAATTATATAGTTATAGCTATACATCTACGAAATTAGGTAATTTCGGTATGATTACCTAAATACAGGGGCAGATCTTTGAACACAACCACCCGAAAACAGGCCAAATGAGAGTCGGGGTATAAACTTCTGGTCAAAATAGTGCATTCCTGAAAAGTAGAAGTTTCCCAAAATATTTGACGCAGTAGTCAAGATATTTTACAGTATCTAATAGCTTCACGTGCAATCGACCTCGGAACAACATTAAAAGGTGACGTCAACTCTATTTGATGTGTTGTGCATTAGTCAAGATTTTAACACATTGGATCATAGTCATAGAGTATATTTTTATATTTGATCGGATACTTGATCTACAGCATGTCAGGTATTTTTGCAGTCCAATCCTTTTGGAAATCAAATATGTACATACTTATATAATACATGAAGCCCAAAAATAAAACAAACAATTTTCTTTAGGTTTGAACAGTTTAATAATAATGACTAACCTTAGAACAATGCATAGCTTAACAAGGAAACGCCTAATCTTACGAATCGTCTAAGCAGATTAATTAAATATAAAAAAAAACATATATACATAGGTATACGTATATGTTTTTTTTAGGAGTCGTATAGCGTTTCAAAAACATACGAAATAACGTTTATGTCTGAACCTAAAAAATCTATCTATGTTCTTTATTTTACCAATTAACATTTTAAAAGGAATATTAGTTTGTCAAAAATGGTGTTTTAATGTAATGAAATCTTGTCAAATGCTTAAACTTAATATTCTAAGGTCAAATGTTCTATTTTGTCAAACTACTTAGTATTATTTACAAAAATAATAGTTTGTAAATTGATAACTTATTCTAATATAAAAAAAATACCAAACGTTATATTTTAAATGAAAATTAGGATAATTTACAGAAAAACAAATAGTGAAATAGAATAAAGAAATTGGTGGCAAGTTTAAAAATAAAAATTCAGGTGAAGAACACCCGCCATCATACCTATAAATGCGTTTCAGTATCAGCATTTCGAAAAAAGAAAAAATTTCGTTTTCGTAGAAGTAGAATAGGTCGTATTAAAAATCGTGGTAATCTTAGTAGTCCTTAACATAGTAAAATAGGGGAAAATTTGGTATTAGCACAGATACACATAAACTACGTAGGTATCAGGTAATTTTATAGATACCTACTTGCTATGTCTGTTATAGTAACGAACACCTAATTTATATTATTCAGTGAATAAAAAGGTTACATGATATCTGTTTTACAAGCATTGTAAGAACAGTACACACAGCTGCACTTTAGGTTACCGTAATATGTAAAATTTCTGCAATTCATTTTGAACTCTACCGAGAACACATTAAGGTTTTAAAAAAATGAAGGAAATTGACACTTATATATAACCTGACGGGGTGTTGACTGTACATTCACATCAATAAGAGTATATTTTTAAAAAAAAGCTATCTTTTGTCTTTCGAATATATTGACTAATGTTGACACAAACTTTTAGACTAAAAAATCCAACTTTTCAATAAAAAGTTTGAGATTAATAAGAACAAGTCAATAAATAAATATAATAATCAGAATAACATTTTCATCTTTAACGAAACTTTAAAAATTTGTAAAAAAAGTCTTTCGGCTTTTTGGGTAGATATCCTGAACATTGATGAAAAATACTCTTTAGTAGTGAAAAAGTAACAAGTGCTTGGAAAATTCGTCAGTCCTGTTAGGTCCTGGGTAGCTCAGTTGTTAGAGCAGTCGCCCGGATTGCGAAATATCATGGATTCGAGTCCCATCTCAGAATTTCAGGGACAAAGTGGGCTTTTCAAGCATTTTTCAGTAACAATATTTTTCAGTATAGCATGTGAATGCAACATTGATCAAATATAGTTAAAAGAGTCAATATTTCTGACATCTATAGTTAACAGGTTTCGTTTTAAACTAATAAATCTTTGGTTTGTTAGTGATGAAATACAGATATATAAATTACTTTATTCAACGTGTTGCGGTTGTATTCCCGACAGTGGGGGTTGGTCTAACTATGTAGTTGCCAGGGTGGTCGTGCGGAGGGCGCTGTAGACGACCTGGTCGTGGAGGAGGCGGCACCCTGATTTGCTGTACTGGTAAACGCTCCGGCTGCGCCACTATATCCTGGCGAGGAGCCATGGCTGACACCAAAAAAAAATTCGTACATTCTACATACCAGTAAAGAGTTAAGAAGTCGCCGCCAGACATTTTTTAGTTTTTGAACTATTATTTTTCCCTAATTTTTTTTATAATTTTATTAAGTGGAGATATTTGACAGTTATGTATAACCTCTTATGCTGTTGACTGTATATCGAAATCTGAATCAACGAAGGTATGCACCACAATACTAGGACGAGATGCAGTATAGAAAATTCGGTTTTCTATATACAGCCGAGAATCAAACTAAGGACTTCAGCATATAAAGTGACATCTTGAAATCACCGTGTGTCTATAACTAGCATTTATATTTGCCTGATGAGATTGTAAACGATTTTAGATATAGCTTTTCTATTAGGTACCTAAATATTAGAAATTTCATGGCGTAGCACTGTCACATAAATAAATTAAGTAACTTTTAATTACTTTTAAGCATAAAAAGATCAAAGATATGGTGCAATTAACAATTATAAATACATAGTAAATATAATTATACAGATATCTAAACTTCTTAGGTGCATGTAGTACGTATCTAAACAGTTTATTCATAGTGGTAAAGTTTACATAAAAATAAATTCAAACTTTTTATGCTAGTATTTTAGTCTTAGATAAAGCATTTTTCTAGATTTTAACAGTTTAACATCCACCCATAGAAATCTGACTTTGCTCACCTTTTGAACAATAGCTTTATTAAAGTTCTGCTGCCTGTAATGTTGGAAAACACTTTAAAAACTTTAAATAATATTTAGACCACTATCACCTAGAAATGTTGCAAAAGACATATTTTGTGATATTGTTTAATCATAATTCAGTGTGATAAGATATATCAATTCTTATCACTATAAATTGAAATTGTGAGATTGAAGCATTGAATATATTGTATAATACTATATATGTAAAAAGAAAACCGTTTAAAGCGTCCACATATTTGTCATCCCGTGAACGTTTACTGGACTACCTTAATAAATGGGATACTTATATTAATTTTTATCAAGCGCGTATTTCTTACTTTACTGGGAGGTTTACTAGAAAATATATGAACTTTTTTCTATCATAATAACTTTATTTTCATGTCCAGTAACTTTTCTTTTCTTATTTCTAATACATACTTTAACAAAACCTAATTTTTATTTTCACAATATCAAATGTGATGTGATGTGAGCGAGTATTAGGCAAACGACAAATCAACCTGTCGCGGAAGGCATACATCATACCCGCAAGCTTTTTATGGCTCAGTACCCATAGGGTAAAAACCTTATTACCTAGTTAAGAATCCGCTGTCAAGAATTTTCTCAGGTGATATATTTCTATTGCCGCTATAACAACAAAAATTGACAAAAAAACAGAACATAATAAATATTTAAGTGGTCCTTTGTTTTTAATTCAGGATTACTTAATTAATTTATTATAAATGGTTATAGGTATGAATCCTTTGATATCTAAGAAAAGGAAAAGTTCCATTTTGTTTCTCCGTGTCTGTCTACATATTAACCATTGTTGTGGCGACTGTTATGGCAATGGCTGTTATGGCTAGAATGCCTTTCCTTTTACTTATCTCCGTTGAAACTTGCATCAATTTGTAGTAGTCATGGTACCAAAATGTTGGCTAATGTGTGGAGTGGCATAAGAACAAATATCTCTGGTCTGTGTATGGACTATCAAGGATAACTCTGCCTGAATATGAAAAGTCTATGGTATAAGAGTTGCAAGGTTATGATTTTTGTAATGATGTATGTATTATTTTTGTATTTTTGTAATACTTTTGGAGACATTGAGTGTAACGAAAAAGATTTTCTTTTTTTTAAATAAGTATTTATATTTTGTACTTGTCAATTTAATTAACCTATCAGAATAGAGTAATAATGAGTTTCTAGTCAACACATTCTTTATCGTGTATTTATGATTCGTAAATAAGAAGTAATTAGTTTGGTACTGTGGCGACTTATGGCAACTTAGTCTTATGGTGGAGGTGGGTGGCGCAATGAAAAAACTGGTAGCACTCCTTAGTCTTGATTTATTACTGATAAGAATTACATTTAAGCACTTACAATAATTATACTACGATGCTCACCCTAAGCTGGTCTCGATCAGAAAAGAAGACTATTCACCAGCAAAACACGAACACGCGAATTCGAATAAGAAAAAGTAATAATTTAAAATATTAACGGCCAGCACTTGACCATAAACCGTCCGAAGAGTAAACCCTACCTATAGTAATGTGCTCGGACGTTACAGTACCTATGCCATTACAAAATGTGTCTGCAAAATAAAACAAGCAAAGCAGAAAAATATTTAGTATGCAAGATTCGGTCAGCAAAGAAATCATTTCTATTAACATTTTATTATTATTGCTGTGCATATTTCAATTTTGGTTAACAATATCAAGAGTTGGATTAGGGTTTTATTGAAAAAAAAGCGGTGTTCGTTAAAAGTGGGCTGAGCGAAACCGGGAGTATATACTTATGACTGCGAAAATGGCATTCGAGTGGCATAGTGTCAACTGATTTAAATGTATTTGATTTGCATGATTTTTGATATTTCGCGATTATTTTAAGATTTAATGGATACCAATAGCGAAAAATAAAACAACATCTTTGAGATGATATGGTTTCGATTCTCGTTTAGATCAATTTTAAAATAAACTTTTCTATATTGTCTCGGATCTGAGGGTTGTAGTACCTTCGTTGTTTCAGATATCCGTAATAAAAGTGATTTAGCTAGGTACTTATCTTGGGATCTAAACAATGTATGTTCTTGTCTAATATGTTAGAGAATAATATGTTGTAAATAATAGAAGAATATGTTGTCTCATATTCATTTATTTAATTATAATATAATAAGAATAAATTTGTATGTTTAAGAATATCAATATTTTGTTACATTTTCTTCGACAATTCGAAAACGAAACGAAATATCGAATAATCTTTACAATTTTGTTATATAATATGCGTAAAGATCTTTGCAAGAGGTATAATAGCATTTAAAATAATACACAAAGTTTTATTTTCCGTGAAATATAACAGTCCGTCGGGTGTCGTGTTAGTTTATATTACTAGTAGGTATGTAATATTTTCAATAGATATCAGTAGTGTCATATTTTTTTATTTTTTCGAGTGTGTACCAGACTCAAATTAAATATGGGTTACTTATTGTAGTTCTTATGTTTGCTGCTGTATAAAAAAAAAGAATATTACGGACACTACATACTTTATATAAATAGTTACATTTATATAACAACTGTTATAAATTATGCACAGATAATATAGAAAATTAAAAAATAAAGAAAGTGCGATACGAAAAGATAGTTAATTTCTTTTCCAAACGACTTTCAGTGAATTTTAAGAACATGACGCTGGCAGCATTATTATTAAATGTCAAACTGTCTATTGTCATTGTCAATGTCATATGCAAAAACATGGTTTGTGGTTTTTATGTCTTCTGGAAAAATCTCAATAGATCTCGTATTTCATATCTGATAGATTTTTGCTTTTATTTGATATATTGAATCATTTTCCAATTTTATAAAAACATCAGCTGGTGTGGAAATCTCATTAAGTTGTCATAGTTCCTGTGATTGAAGTATATTCAGTAGTGGTTTAGGTAAACATAACCTGAATAGTTATGGGTTCTAATCCAGAAAACAACAGTTCCAATAATCCTCCAATAGCAGGGGCTATTACTTATCCCACTTGCCATGGCCAGAACTTACAGGCCACACCAGTACAACCACGACAACCAAGAAACCTACAGGTAAGTGAATCTGCAATATTTCTGATGTAATTTAGAACCAATACTTTTAAGTTATCACTACATATTCAAAACAGAGTCGCTTTCACTGTCTCTATATCTAATCTATGCATAAATCTTTAAATACTACGCATCGGATTTTGATGCGTTTTTTTTATAGATAGGACGATTCAAAAGGAAGGTTTTTATGTATAATACAAGACCACGGGGGTGATGCCGCTGGCGGAAAGCCAGACAAGAATAATACCATAGCCTATATTTTACTTGATATAACTGCTGCGGCAAGCAATTGTTGTCATTAAGCAACTTTGGCAAGAGTTGGTCACAAGATGGATGACCAAAAAAATTATTATTTCAAGCTCCTCAGTGCTCTGCAAGGCATGTTATGCAGTTGGTCCTGGCTGCATTTGCACTCATTAATACCCTCCAATACACATTAGACATGTGTGGTGGGTCATGGCCCATCCAACTTAACCATAAGGAAGATCTGAGCCCTTCCAGTGGGGACAAAAAAAGGGCTGATGTTGATAATGTAGCTTTATTTTGGTGATGAAAGAACTAAATAAAAATAGAAGTTTAGTAGTTTTTATTTGTAATAAAAAGAATTATTTTCTCTTAATATTAATTTTAATTGTGTATGTAAAAAACAGAAGTTCCACCCAATTTGATATTGCATCCATTATTTTTATTATCTAATAATTTGCATATTTTTATATAATTTCAGGGTTTGCTTCGATTTGCAATGGAAGCAACAAAGGCTGAAGATGCACCTGGTAATTCGGAACTAGGTCCTATGGACGAAGAAGTATGTTATTTTGGTATATATATCGACGCTGGAAAGCAAACACGTAGTAACCCGCAAAACCAAATTGATCTTCAAAGCAGAAAAACTTTGATTTTTTCGATAAATAATTCCTATAAATGTCCGTGGTAACAAATAAGGTGTTCCTTAGTCAATTTATACAGAAATAAGATATATTTTTTTGGAAAAATCTAAAGATTTTCCATTATAAATATCCATTTTGGTTTTGCAGGTTATTATGTGATTGCTTTCCAGCGACGATATTATACATAGATATATATTATAGGTTATGCTTTACCATGCGTTATCAACACATTCCATGTGTTGCAGTCCTTAAAATAGTCATCGACTTTATAATAGATAAAGTCTATTCTTGATGAGTGTATTCTTTACATGAATTTTAAATTTATTTACGGTTTGGTCAATGGCATTTTGTGGAACTTTATGGAATATAGCAATGCATTTACCCAGAAATGATCCTCTGGTTTTGTGAAGTCTGAAGCTTGAAACAGCAAGTTTATTTTTATTTCTTGTAGGATTATGAACACTACTTTTTTTTGTGAAGGAATCATAATGTCTTCTTGTTTGCATAATATTTTCATAGATGTATTGAGAGGCAACAGTCAAAATATTTATTTCTTTAAATATTTCTCTGAGAGATTTCCTCAAATGTAAGTGATATATAGCATGCATAGCTCTCTTTTGTAGTATAAAAATATTTTTAATGCTAGCCACAGAAGCCTACAACAATAGGCCATATGTCATTTCACCATGAAAATAACTACAATCTACCAATCTTACTATTTCAACATTTATCTAGAGTCTAATTTTCTTAAGAGCAAAAGCTGCAGAACTCAAGTCTACTTGACAAGGTATAATGAGGATCCCAATGCAGTCGGGAATGTTGTGTAAATATCTTGGTATTACACTACATTCCGTTGATAGAATAAAAAATTGAGTTGGTAGAATCAACTAAGTTCAAGAACTTAGTTGATTCTACCAACTCAATTTTTTCACTACATTTTTAAGTGTACTAACAGGCCTCATATTAGGTTATGCAAAATTTATGCATTTCATTTTATTGGAACTGAGCTTTTAATTATTACAATCACACCACTGTAGAGCATCATTTACAGTGAAAAGTGTGCAAGCAGTCGATTGCAAATTATTTTCTCAAATACTTTACTTAGCGCTGGTAGTATAAATATTAGCCTGAAATTACTGGGATCAGACTTGTCGCCTGCCTTGAAAAGTGGGATTATTGGATTAAATCAGGAAAAGTTCCTTCATCAATGCACTTATTAAAAATAAAAGTTAATTTAGCCGCAATAGATGGTATTATGGATTTGATAACATAAATCTAAAATTAAATGTGTCCTTTAACAGAGACGTAAATTCCTTGAAGAGGCCCTGAAGAGTCTCACGGTGGATGTGGCGGAGGTTATACAGAATGCCATCAAGGTCCTCACCGACCAGGAGAAAATTAGAAACATACAACTGGGTGATGTGCTCCCTCAAGACGTTGCAACGTCTTTCAACAACCTTATGGAATTTATTGATGATATAGATGTGGCCAATGGTTTGTTGAAAAATTTATTATCTTTCCATTCCTTCTCTATGCTTCGAAGACACGTTAATTACGCGCCTGCATCTGCAGATGTTTACACCCACCACAATCTTTTACGTGCTAGGCTGGTGTGGTGGATTCCATTCTCCGGTTCTCCCTATTTGAATTAATTCCTGATGAAAGGCTAGCTACTCAGTTTGGTATCTAAGCAATATTGATAAGTTTGTAACATTTGATTGTAATGTATTTCAGATTTCTATAAATTGGGTGGTTTCGCAATATTTCCCGTGTGCTACGGCAGTGAGAATGAGGAAGTGCGAGCCAACGCTAGTTGGGTGCTAGCTGAGGTGTGCCAGAATAATCCGTTCTGTCAGTCTCGTGTCCTCGAATGTGGTCTGCTCAATGTACTCATTAATTTGCTTGAGACCGAACAGGGAACTGCGCTGGCCAAGTGTCTATATGCTGTGTCATGTGAGTATTAATGTTGTGTGACTGCTCAATATCTCTTGTTTTAATTTTTGACTAGCTGTTTTCCTGTAGTTCCCAGCATAAATTATAGTCTATATCACCTACGAGTGATGTAGAATTGTCTCGAAGATGTGGTTCACTGACCCCCAGTTAAAAACCACTGGTATAGATCAGGGATGTTGCGAACATTCGCATCCGCATCCGCATCCGCAAATGCGGAACATCCGCATTGATTTGGACATCTGCATCTGCATCCGCTTCCGCATTAATCAATGCGGGTGTTCATGCGGATGCGAATATTATACAAGTAGCGACAAGAAAGAAATTGGGCGGGTCCGGTGATTGACGCGTGCCGGTCGCGCGTGACAATAACCAATGGGAACGAAGAAATTGGTGACAAGATTCGACAAGTTTGTTTGTTCTAGCTAGTGCATCATTTGTTTCTTGCAAATGAATAAATATTACGCGTTTGTTTGCGCTGTGAAGTGAAAGTGAACTTTATCGTATCATAAAGATAGATAGGTATTTTGAATGTTGTTGTGATACAGTGGTCATTGTGTGTAAATAAGAAGAGTTTACAAGATAACTTTATATTACTTAGACTAATATCCATAAGATCGCAAGGTAAATTCTATTATATTACACCGGTAATACGTTTTATTGTAGGAAAAATTATAGTTTTATGACGAAATTCGTTATTTTTCCAGTGTGATTCCCGTTATTGATTCCCGTTAGTTAACAAACAATGTCACCACCGACCAAAAGTAATATATGGGATTATTTTGAACCAAATAAAGAAGACCAGGATAAAGCTAATTGTAAAATATGCAACAAAAGCTACTCTCGTAAGGGCCGTACCACATCGTCTTTGAAAAATCATCTTAAGTCGATGCATTCAGAAGAATTTTCTACATTTGAAAACGTTACTAAAGAAAAAAAATTACAACAGATGAAATCTGACGCAAGTAAGTTTCATCATTTATAGTTTTAATTAATTAATATTTACTTGAGGCATTGTTTGGTTACTATAATAAAAACATAGTTTTAGTTGTGGTTTATTGGTTAAGTTTCCACTCAATATTATAGTTATTTGCTGTAATATAACTCCGTCAGTTGTAAAAAGACTGACGTAATTCATTTATCTATTTGAAATACTTTTTTTTTATTGAAATCGTTTCAATATAAAATAACCTGAACATAAATATATATTTTTAATATGATATTAAAATATTAATAGTGAATTAACTCTAAAACTACTTGGCCGATTTCAAAAATTCTTTCATCATTGCAGTTTCAGCATTGTTTCAGCTACATTCACGCCATATTTAATGTTAATGTTAGAAAACATTAGGGATCCTTCCTTATTATTATAAATGTTAATAATGAATAAAATCTTTTTATTTATTTTTTTTGTAATATAAGTTGGACATTTGATTTTGAAAGTTATTTACAAAAATATAAAGAAAGGTTTTCTTTTATTTCGAAAATTTAAAGTGTCCTCACTTATTAATTACTTTTAAGTAAATAGTTTTTTATTACGAAAATTATTATTCATATGTATATTTTTTAGATAAAGTTACCACTCCTTTGCAAGAAGCAAAGAAACAACTTTCATTAGAAGAAGTAATTCTAAAAGAAAAGAAGTGGGACGTCAATAATTTAAATTCTAAAAAAATTGATAAACTCATTGGAGAAATGATTGCGCTTCAAAATTTACCGTTTAATTTTGTTGAAGGGCTGGGTTTTCGTAGATTGATGCAAGAATTAGCACCAAGATATAATTTTAGGGGACGCAATTTTTTTACAGATTTTGTATGCAAGGAATTATATAGCAAAGTGGCTCAAAAAGTTAAAGAATTAATCGAAAATTTTGATAACATGTCGTTTACGTCTGATATTTGGTCGGATCCAAGCTCAAACGCTTCCTTGCTTAGCTTGACTTGCCATGGAATTGCAGAAAACTTTGATAGATCATCGATAATATTGAAATGTGAGACATTTGACGGCCGTCACACTGGTGACATAATTGCTGAAAAATTCAGTACCATGCTTTCTGAATGGAATATTAAAAAAGAACAACTGCATTGCCTTATCAGAGATGAAGGGTCTAATATGAAACGAGCCGGGCGATTAGCAGCATTGAATGATATAGACTGTACTGTTCACAAGATACAACTAGCTATCCGTAGTTGTTTAGGTTCACAAGAAAACATAAAAATACTAAAACAAAAATGTAAGAAAATTTCGACCCATTTCAATCACTCTACCATTGCCCAGAAACAACTACAATCAATTCAGGACAGACTGAATCAAACGCACCTGAAAGTGTTTCAAGATTGTGTAACGCGATGGAACAGTACATTCTACATGTTCGAGCGTTTTTCAAAGGTAAAGGATGCTCTGAGTCTTTACACGAATGATAATGAAATTGATCCCATTCTACCAGAAGAATGGAAAATCATTGAAAGTTTTATTCATTTACTGGGACCATTTGAGGAAGCAACGCGGGAACTGAGCAGCTCTTGTGCTCTTATTTCATCTGTGATACCGATAATGCAAATGCTTGAAAAAAAAGTTGATGACTATTTGACAAGATCACAAGAGTTTGATCCGATTCGTCAGGCTGTTACGACTTTGAAAAACGAACTTTCAACAAAGTTTTCCAGCTTGAGAGAAAACAATTTATACACCATCGCCACCTACTTAGATCCTCGCTATAAACACAAATTTTTCACACCGGTGACTGAAGAAAAGATTAAAGATGACATTTTAAAAATGATAAATACTGAGAATGACATTTTTGGATCTCTTAATACCAATACCAAAAGGGCTAAAATAATTAAAATATCTGATTGCACGGAAAATTATACGGAACAACTAGGACCAGGGACTTCAGGTTTCAACAAAAAGCCATGCTTACAAAACGACCTGGCCATGATGTTAGATTCGTCGAGTGAAGACGAGAGTCAAGATGAGCCAAAAAATGGTAGCATTGAAGCTGTACTCAAAAAGGAGTTACTTGCTTACCTTACTAAAAAAAGAATAAATGTGAATGAAAATCCTTTAAACTGGTGGAGTGTACATCGAAAGGAATTTAAGGTATTATCGCCGATAGTACGAAGATTTTTATCTGCTCCACCGGGCAGTGTTCCTAGCGAACAACTATTTAGTAGCGCGGGTTTAATTTACGAACCTCTGCGTAACAGACTTGAATCAGAAAAGGCGGCAATACTACTCTTTATCAAGTATAATGCTCCCATTTTTAATTTCAATTACTAAAATAAAATCCAGTAGGTGAAGTTAAAAAAATAATTACATTATACATTGCTTATATTTAACATAAAAATAAGTACTTATGTTTGATTACAGTAAAAATGTTAATAATTACGTTATCATTGTTTTAATTCTTCATTAATGGACTTTATTTACAAAATATCTTAAACATCCGCATCCGCATCTGCATCCGCGGATGTGAGCCTGCAAAACTCCGCATCCGCATCCGCATCCGCGGATGTGAATATATCGGCATCTGCAACATCCCTGGTATAGATTAACCCGCTGCATTGCTGACAAATTAACATGACTACTGAGAGCCTATTCTATTTGTCCTTGAAAAGCAATTTCAAACTATTTTTAATACACCCTCTGGGTATAAAGTGATAAGTGACATTTCGACTTTTATAGTTTTTTTGCATTTTTGGCTTCTAGGATCCTATTCTTACATTTTTAGTTCTTATTTAAATGAAATTAAATAACATGGCCACTTTTTTCTGTGAAACAAAGATGATAAATATTATGTGAGAAAAAAGTAGGAGCAACACAAAATCAAACGCTTTGTAACACACTAAAATAACATTCTTATTAACGTGCAAAAATAGTAACCACTTTTACACTTTTTGTTTCTGGTGACAAATAAATATCCCGATTGTTGTAATCGGCGAATATGGTTCAATGGTTTGTAGATGCGAAATTTCTAATTAAAATATTGTTCAAAGATGCTTTAATTCTTGTTTTAAAATAGACTATAATTTTAGGTTGGGAAAAGTCTTTTCGCATATGTAATACAATCATTCTGGCTATACCATTTGTATCTGGCTGGTTTCGATATTATTAAGATAACTCGAATTCAAATTAGGAAAATGTGATTAACATTGGTTTATCTTATAGTCAAAATGAATGAATCTAATGAAGAATTTCCATACATTTTAAAAGGTAAAAATGCAACGTAAGCCACGAAAAAAAAAATTGTGACGTTTATGGAGCTAGAGCAGTTTCTGTGAGAGTAGCACAAGTTTGGTTTAACCGTTTTCAGTCCAGAAATTTTGATGTCAATATGCATGTTGCTCCGGTCACCCTTTTAGAGATAAAATGGATGCCATTTTTAAAAAGTGGAGGAAGATCGGTATATCAGTAGTTACCTTGTAGCTGTAGCTTAACTGGGGATTAACCACAAAACAGTTTTGGCGCATTTAAAAAAAGCTACACAAAAAGTTGAATATTTGGGTGAAAGAATCTTAATGAACCATGTACTCATTTGTGATTATTTATTACGGCGTAATTAAACCGAACCGTTTGTGAAGAAGCTGATAACTGGTGATGAAAAGTGGATTACGTACGACAAGAACAAACGAAAAAGGTCGTGGTCAAAGGTCTGTCAGGCTTCACAGACTGGCGAAACCCGGGTTAACTCGCAACAAGGTGTAAAACGCAATACTGTGTGTATATATGGTGGGATTGCAAGAGCACTACTCATTATGAGCTGTTACCGCCAGGCAGGACCATCGATTCTAAACTTTACTGCGAACAACTAATGAGATTAATTAAAGCCATAAATCGAGAGAACGCGGCCACTCTGGAAGTGTTAATGCATCCGTAATATAGTCCTGACCTCGCACCTTCAGACATTCATTCACCTGATTCGGTCTTTTCTGAATTCTTTAGGCAGTGTTATGTTAGGAACACGTGAGGACTGCTAAAACCACTCGTCGCGGTTTTTTGATCAGAAGCACCAAAATTTTTATAGCAATGGGTTCATATCCCTAACTGCCCTGCGGAACGAAGACAATGAGGGGAAGGATCGGAGATCTGGCGGCAAAAGTACAAAATCACGATGCGTGCCGTCCCCTTAGAGCCTCATGGGTGTCGTATAAACCACCTAAGGTAACAAAGTCATGAGCCAAACCTCGTGATCACGGTGATACCAAAACACCTGGTATGTGTGGTAATTACAGCAAAGTCATGGTAATTACAGCCTGCTATTTTTAGCTACAATAGGTTAGGGTAATATTATTATTGCCTGCTATTTTTAGCTATAATAGGTTAGGGTAATATTATTATTGCCTGCTATTTTTAGCTATAATAGGTTAGGGTAATATTATATTAGGGTTATCCCTATCGTTACGCTAGTCTATACTACAATCTAGTCGGATACACTAAGGACTAACGAAAACAAGAATTTAATAGAGTTGGAAGAAGCTATTAGTAAGTTAAGCTGGGCATTATTGGGTTATCTGCAGTCAAGAGGGGGAGGATACGATAATACCAGTAACTTGCTATACTACCGAAAAGGAGTCCAACAATCTAGATGGTATTAAGTATATTGTCCATGAGTGGTTTGTTAACGACGTGGTTGCCGTAAGAATATCACAATCCTCGGAATATCACAATAATATTAGTAGAATGTCACATCTGTTTATGCTCTGCCGTTGATGCACCCAGATGGCCAAATATGTATCAGAATATCTCAAAAGCCAGGCAAAGTTATAACATGGGTGTTGTCCCCATCACAACACGGCAGTGAAGTTTAAATAAAAAAATAAAAAGCCATAAAGAAAAGTCGGACTTCGATTAAGCCAAACACTAGTCATAATTCATAGAAAGTAAAGTAAGAAAATGGAAATATACAATCATGTCTTTGCAATCAATGCTATCAAAACGGGAACGAAAATTAAAGATCTGTACAAAAAATGGGCTGAGGTTTATGCTTCCGTAAAATCGCCAATCCTCTTCAGCACTGCACAGCTGTAACTTTTCAGTTCTCTAGTCTTTTAGGATCAACTTTCTTTTAGCAGTTAATTATTTATGGAAAATCATCACTCTATTCAAAATTAGTTTCAATAATGTTACTCTAAATTTTGATAAAATAAGCATAATATACTTTGATATTTTCATAGCAATTTTTACAAATTCCAGAATAATCTAGGGAGTTCTCATCTGGAAAACAGAGAAAAATTTCACCTGTTACATGAAAAATAATGGAGGAAAAATTTTCTAATTATTTGTAACGTAAGTCTATCTATCGACTTCGCACCAAAGGTGAATTAACTTTTAAATTTAAAACACGGTTAAATTTGTCTGAGATGCTTCACGTGTAAGTACAAGTTTGGACAAAGTTGTTCTCTTGCATTTTACAATAAAAACGTCAATCTTCACGGATTTTTTTTCTATTCGTCTTTACTATAATCAAAGCTTTTCTATTGGTAAAGTAAAATATATTGATTCCTATTGCAGCCACAAAAAACTCTTTGGTTGTACTACATAAGTACGATAAAACTTTCAAATTTCATAAAAATGAATTTTATACAACTTTTGACTTTAAAGTAAATGAGTTACGCGAATCGTTAGATCACTTACTCAAAGTTGAAAAACTTACTTACTCAAAGATTAACGATCAGTTGCACGAACCTCCATTAAGGTTTAATGCTGCCTTAAGCTCTAATGAATGTCCAATTTGTATGGGTAATGTCGCTTCAAACTAATGACTGTTTTAATGGACGTTTGTGCAACTGGCAGTAAGTGATCTAGCGATTTGTAAAAAAACCTCATTTTTGGAATTTTAGCGCTTACGATTTTTTTACTAAAAGGCTCGTATACGTTTTCGTAAAAATAGAATAGGCTTTCAGTTGGTCTGTTAATTGAATGGATACCTTTTTAGGGCCACTTTGTTTGTTTATTGTATCATTAAAATTATTATTTGTACATTGTGGGGTTATTAATTGAATAAATTATTATTATTATATGACAGGCGCTTGCCGCGAGTACTCGCCGTGTTGCCGCGAACTGGTGTCTCAGGGTGGGTGCGGAGCCCTGTCCGCCGTGCTCGCGAGCCAGGACACCTTCCCTCAAGCTAGGACCAAGGCCGCCTTCCTCATACGGTACCTGGTGCAACATTATCCAGACGCTAGAGGTACCTACTGCATCATTCATAATATGATTATGAGGAAGTATAATACACCACATACATCTATTATGCGTTTTCATATTATTTTTGATGTTCATTTTTAATGTCATTGTAAACAGGAGTGCTCAACATGGGATACAATTAACTCTAACAATAGGAAGCGACATTTTAGCGATGTTGTGACGATATTTGTTTTTTTTATTTCTCTGACATATACTTTGATAATAACGAACTGATGTTATAGAATGGTCATTATGGATTCGTGTGTAGCATGTAACCCTACATTCTCTACGTACATTTTATGCGCCGCGGCCCCCACCTTGAGCAATAAATAAACGAGTTCACTCTTAAGCATCTGTACTCAAACTGTACTCAAACATCACTTAAACAGGTTTTTGTTTCTGATTTTAGTTTTTTAAATTAGGATTTTTTGCCCTGTGAAAAGTATTGAGAATAATTCGTTGAGTATTTGTACTTTTCTCAATTCAGAAACCGGCCGATAGTCGTTTATTGTTCAAAAAGTCATGTCATGGTAGTAAGACGAAACTAAATATCACTATTACGCCACTAAGATGTCGCATGGCTAGAGAATTAGGCGGACGCGCTTCTGGTTGAAGTGAAAATTAATTGAGGAAATTTCTATTATAGTTGAGCTTAGGGTTTTGTGTGGGCTATTAATATTAACAATTGGATGTCGTTTTAAGTGTAGTTTAAGTGTACGCGGAAGTTGATACTAATCAAGACCTTCCGATTTGTGTGGGCTAAATATTAACTGCTCGAATTCAATTGATGATTACTGAATTATTCTTCAATTTTTAATCGACTTCATAAAAAGGTGGTTGTCAATTTTACAAATATCTATCTATAGAAGAATTTTTTTCAAATATCTATCTATATTAGCTCTGCATGTTTCTTGTCCTATCACAGTTAATAATAAGACTCTTTATTTCCATAACATGGTAACAAAATGAATAATTGTAAAAAAAGGAAAAACAATATTTTTAAACATTGTCATGGCCCCTTACGGGTAAAGGCCTCCTCCAGGTGCCTCCATCTGTCCTTGTCTTTCGCGACGACCTATCACAGTTACGAAAGGTTATTTTATTTTATCAGAAAAATGTTATACATGTTATAATTTCAATATTCGATTTTTTCAAATAATGTTATAATACTAAAAGCAGCAGCTCCTGTTATTTTGTAGGCAAAATAACTGTGGCTTAATAGGATAAATTGTTAGTTTAAAGAGTAACAATAAACTCGAACCTACAAATTAATTTACAGCTTTTTAAAATGATGATGATTATATAATTTTTTTGCAGAGGAATTTATCCAGCAGAATCTCGTCAGGATCGTGGCTAATCAGATCAAGACCGGTCGTGATGAAACTACAGAGCATCTCCTAGGTATTCTTACGCTACTACTTGATACAAACGATTGTAGAATATTGGATCAATTGAGAGATCCAAGTCTTGGCCTAAAGAAAGTTCTAGAAGAGCTCTCTGACCATGAAGACGGAAGAGAGTACTGCGTAGATTTATTGAAGAGAGTATTCGAAGACTGCCCTGAATATGAAGTGATTAATGATGAAGTGGAAAGATAGATGGTGCGGTGTGTGTAAGATAATAATATTTAAACAAAATCTTGAATATGTAAATCATAACAGTTGTATATTAATTTTCAGAATAACTCCATTATTATTAATCTTTAAAACAACTAAATTTAGGCAAACAAAGCTATTTAAAATATTGAAATAAACTAAAATGTATGAATATATATATATAGATAATAAAAAACATATTGTGTTAAAGAAAATTAACGTACGAGTATTCATTGATAAAATCAATGAAAAGTTTTTATAGCTACGGCTAAAATGATAGCGAGGGAATTAGGTGGGTGCTCCCCTGAGTTTCTATCTTCAGCTTTAGGTTAGTTTTTATGCAAATCGAAGAATGCTTAAACATTGACGCTTGTAATTGGATGTTTCTTTTCCTATCTGGCTCTGTTTCAAGCGACTGCAGTACACCAGAGTGTCACAATTTATTTTATAGTAAATTTCAATTCATGATGGTGTTAAGTTTTATGTGAGTTGAGCTATTGACTGTATTATATATTACAAAAAATAACTGATTATTATTAAAACGTGATTCCGATATGAATATTTTTGTTTGTAAACTGAATTTTTAAACACAATTATAAGTAATATAATATATTGATAATAAATATTTAAACAGCAAAAATAACATGTTTTTTTATAATTGTTTTATCACAACAAGATCCCTATAGCATTAGACAGAAGTTAAATAAGGTTCTTTTTATGGTATACTTTGTGACAAAATATCAACAATCCTGTTACTCGTAAGACTAATGGCTAATTTGCTACATATCCACTTAAATACCAGTTGCTAAACTTAACCGTTGTCTTTTAAGCTATCTATCAAACAAATTTATGACTATTTGACTAACTTAAACGATTTTATTACTATTACAATAAAAAGCGTTCATCTGACGAACCTAAAGAAGCAGGGTTGGATAGTTTCGACACTATTATCATGTCACTATGATTGATTCTACCAAATTTAAACCGTTGCCTAATCCCTTCAAACGTTTCGGCAGTATAGCTTTTTAATTTTGTCTGATTATGATTTATTCATAATAGTCAAAATACGTAGGTACGTAATCTGGGATTCTCATTGTGTCAGTCATCATTGTGTTGTGATTGTGAATGCTACTACTTGTTGTTTTGCCGTTTTCCGTGATTGAGTTGTTATTGTTGTTTTCTTATAGTTTTGTTTTTGTTGTTAATTTTTGCTAAATATGGATAATTCCGGTGCAGGCCCGAGTGGCTTCCAACAATTACCTTTGACATTTCAAGAAGTTTTTCTAATGTCTTAATCAATAGTCTATTATTATCTGATTAAATGTTATAAAAGTAATAATAAAAATTTCACTTTGTTTACCTTTCTTTCCTGGGCATATCTAAGTATAATATATAAAGCTTTTATAACTAAATTCCATTATTGCAACAAAACTATTAATATATATTTTTAAATTTATCTTGAGAATAAAATGTTCTGTATTGAAGCTTCTGTGATCCTCTTTCTTCTAATGCTATAAATGAATGGAGTATAGGAGTAATTGATAAGAGTAATAAATATTCACAAATGTCTAGTTTCAAGTTTTTATAGAAGAATAATGAATTGAATAAGTGAGTCTAGCGGGCAGACGTTTTACATTTAATTTTCTAGAACATTTGATTGGAATAGTCAAGAGCGGTAAAATACTTTGTGGTTATCGATATCTTATGTGTAATTTACTCCACTTCATGGTACCCTAGTAGTGAATACAAGCTTCTAAAGTGCTATTATAGATTAAATGATGTATCGTGTTGCTAAGGGGTTGATGGTGGAGTCTTGTCCTCTTACCACTATTTCTCTTCCTGACTGCTTGGATGGAGAGATTGTTTCCGTAACCTTGACATCACACTCTTTAAATGGTAAAAAGATAAGAATGTTTTGTTGCTATTTTCCACATGGTACTAATCAAACTACATCCCAACTTTTTTGAATACCTATCAGATATTATAAATATCCAATACCCCGACGATAAAATCATTATCATGGGTGATTTTAATATAACGAAAGCCCAATGGGTACGAGATCAAACGTCAACTAAAGGTATTATATTATTAAAAAATAATTTAAAAATTTCACTAATAAGTAACATTGGGGCGTTTATAAGTTTAACGGGATTGCAAAAATTTCATTGTTATAATTTTAATAATAGAATGTTGGACTTGGTGTTGTCTGATTGTGATTGTAGGGTTACTAAGTGTACTATCCCTCTGGTACCCGATGCACATCACCCGGCTTTGCATATAGGGTTGTCAATGTTTTCCAATGAACGAAGATTGCGTACCCAACCTCGGATTATGTTCAGATTAATTCTGACATTTCAGCAATAAACTGGGAAGACGATTTCTATGGCCTTGATATAGAGGTGGCTGTTTAGAATTTTTCTATTAATGTCAACAGTATAATTGAACGACGAGTTCCAACCGTCATTAGGCGGGAAAGTGAAAGACATCCACCATTGTATAATTATACTCTCATAAAAATAGTTAAAAAAAGCTTAAAGCTCACAAAAAATTGAAGATTTATAGAAGCAATGTTATGATAACTTTTTCACAAACGCTGAACATCGAATTAATATTAATTCTAAATATGTCTGGTCCCACATAAAATCAAAAAGAAATGGTAGCGACATTCCCGATGCTATCTACTTCAACAACCAAGTCGCATCTGCTGGTCGTGACATTGCGGACTTATTCAATACCTATTTTTATTCAGTCTTTGAACCTCCAACTGATATCTCAACTGTCGGTCATCAGCCTCATAATGATGCTCCTACACTCTTAAGCTCGATAAAATTATCACAACGATTTTTATTAAAACGACTCCGTTCCCTAGACATTACAAAGGGCAGTGGTCCCTACGGTCTTCACCCTGTATTCTTAAAAAAATGTTGTAAATCATTAAACCGTCCAATCCCAAAGCTTTTTAATAAATCCATAAAACAAAATAAATTTCCTAAAAAATGGAAGTCTTCCTTTATTGTACCAATATTCAAGAGTGTCGATAAACATAATGTAGAAAATTATCGTGGCATCTTAAAGGTTTCTATTGTTCCTAAGCTTTTTGAAAAACTAGTCTACGACATTCGAAATAATCAACATGGCTTTGTTACTGGCCGTTCTACAGAAAGTAATTCTTGGAGTTTGTTGACGCCATTTATGGGGTAATGGAGGATGGATACCAGGTGGATGCCGTGTATACTGAATATTCAAAAGCTTTTGACAAAATATCGCACAATATACTTACATCTAAATAAGGTAGTTACATAACGTTATTTTATTATTCAACAATGCAATTGACAGAAGGTACACCAAGCATACTCAATTAATCTTACTTAGCAATAGATAAGAACAAAAAATTATATAGTGTAATAATTAGTACTTATATCAAGAAAGTATTTTTCAAATAAATTTTATAATAACGCTTATTCACATAATAAGATACTGGTTTATCAGTCATTTCATTCAATATCGGTAACAGATAATTTCAGTTTTTTTTTCCTTAATAGTTATTAAATTTAGGTAACAATAATTTCTTTGATTTTTGTAACCATCTCAATATTTTTCTTTCGTCGAGTATAGGCGATCAATTTACTGATATTGTGATGTTCCTCAATCAATATGGCGAACCTCACACTATTATATGTTAGCAAGACCCCACAATATTTAAATAAATCTAATCATGTATAAAGTTTGTTTAATTTTTTTTCGGAACTATTCACTTTCTATTATACAACAGATACTTATACAACTATCATCATTTGAAATAATTACCTCTCCTCTAAGTGCACAGTCCTCTCCTTTGCTTATCCGAAATATAAAATTTGTTTTGAGCCAAATTCGCCCTAAGAAAGTTATGAACGACATTTCACTCGAGTTTCTTCAGGGTCATTTCGTACGTATAAAGATAGTAGTAGGGCGCATACGGATGCGCTTGACTCGAACTTGCCACTTTTTAATTTATTCTTTTTAAAAATAAAAAGCATTTTATGAAAATTAAACTTCTTAAGTTTACTCGTTAATAGCAGAAACATATTTTAATAATTGGCTCGATAGAAAAAATGACTAAATAGGTTTTCGGATCGATTCTACGATTCGACTAATAAATTTCATCTTATCTACACAAAAAATATATACAAAAAAAGGTTTTCATATAAAACAATACTCGTATATTGATAAAATATACAAAAGCTTTTTATAGCTGCATTTATTTTTTAAGCGGAGGTACAAAATGTGTTATAATTATAATTTTATTACGCGCCGTTAGTACACTGACGCAATCGCATGCTTTCGCATAAAAAAGACTACAAACCCTTCAAAATCTTGTCAGTTGTATGGCAGTTGTCTGCGAAAACATCGTTACACTGACGCTGATATTTCGCATTTGTAATAAGTAGTAAAAGTTTCGCAGATGAATGAATGTATGAATAAAAAATTCTTTATTGTAAACATGGATACAATAAATATGAATGCACAATTGGCGGCTTTATTACTAAAAAGTAATTTCTTGCGAACTGAACAAAATTATATCTAGATTAGGGAAGCTTATGATGTCTCAAACATTATTACGATATCATATATCTACATATATTTAAGGAAAAAATTAAATATATTAAATACATACACAAAATAATAAGTACATAAATACTATAGATTCTATAATACATAGGTTTATATGTAATACAATATATAACATACAAATAAGCTTTTAGATTATTCGGGATTCAGAGTGAGTGACATATAACGCTCTTTGACTAGTTCTTTGAAAAAAAGTGTATGCTTTGAGCACGCCTGATATTTTCTGGCGATGCATTCCAAAGGCATCTTGGACTGTAAGTGATTTATATAAATTTACTGGCATGCATCGGTATTGACAATTTCAAGTTCTTTGATGACCTCAAAACTCTAGTGTGTGTATTATGAAGGAATTTAAAACGTTCCCTAAGATACGCTGTGAATAAGGATTAAACAAAATACTGTAAAGAAGAGAAACAGTATGTAGAAGTATAAACAACGTTAACTAAATCAATATTATGTTTGGTTAAAAATATCTAGATGAAATCAAGCTTATTGAAACACCACAACGATCCGCTCATGTTCTATACGATTTCATTATTGCAGTGAAAGATTGATTGCACAATAAATAAATAAATAAATAGGAACACAAATACTCGTACGTTTCAATTTCGCAAGGAAATGCGTGAAAATTAATAGTTTTTGTAGATGTTAAAGACAAGGCCGTTTAATATAAAAAAAAGATAAACATAGCTACTACCTAGACTTCTGGGTCAATGCTATTCAATAAGTTTTCTTTAAATACTGGTTGTAATTATGTTATCTACGCTCAACAAATACATCTTCTTTGCTTTACTCATTAAAACACTTTAGAGTTCGTTTCACGAAAGGAGTCCCTCGGATCACAATGTTTTGGCTTTTTTTACAAAAGACCATGAGTTATGCCGCGGGACTTTACTCTTTGCTTTGTATGATCTTGTACTCTTAATAAACTTTGCTCTTTGGTGTTCTGTAAATTGTCTAAATCTAATCATCGTGATCGTGCTATTCGTGGTTGTAAGTTTTATATTCTATTTTACAAAGTTTACTGTTAATATTTCTGTACAAGAAAAGAAAATTAAAACATTTATTTTAAAATGAGTCCGTGGCCGGAGGTATTAACGGCGAAGACCGAAAACAGACACGAAATTAAATTGGCGGGAGGTAACGTTTCGAAACGGATTTCTGAAGATGGTCTAGACAAAACTTTATTTCAGTTAACCAGTTTAAATCTATTAAATATTAGTGATACATGTTTATCTTCCATTCCGGATGAAATTAAACTTCTCACTAATCTGCAATCGCTCCTTCTATTCGGAAATAAATTAGAACAGTTCAATGAAAACATAACCTCTCTGTCCAAGTTAAAAGTGCTCGATTTGTCCAGGAATCAGTTGACTTCAATCCCAGAGAGCTTGAATAAAATGAAAGAATTGACTAGTATTAATTTTAGCTCTAATCAAATTGAGATTATGCCAAAGCTAGTTGATTTTCCTAATCTGATTAATATTGATGTGTCAAACAACAAATTAACGGATTTCTTGGACGTGGAGAATGCCAATTTGCCTCACCTTACCGATCTAAATCTCAAATCGAACGCGATAGAGTCTCTTCCAAGCTGTTTTGCTCATAGCTTGGCGTCTTTGAAGAATTTTGATATGGGAGAAAATAAGTTGAAGGTGATACCAGGAGAGCTCGCTTCTCTAGCAAAATTAAAAGGTAAGTTTAACTTTTTATGATGAATATGATACAGTAGAATAGATGCATACCTTAATTATGCTGTGAATACAGAAAACACGAATATGGGATGGCATTTAGTATGGAATTATAGGGGATATGTTCCAAGGTTCTAAAATAATAGTGATATGTAAACCTATTGCAGATGCAATGCTAATAAACAGATTTTAGCTGCTGAGTACAGAAATTGGGTTAGAAACAATTGTAACCCAATTTCTGTACTCATGCATAAAAGAATACACATATTAGGATGCTGTAAATAAGGAACCTCTAATGAAATTAAGATCTATAAAATAATGAGACTGTAATAACTTATGTAATGATTTCATTGATTTAAATAAATCAATTTAATATTTTCCAGAGTTGAATTTGAAAGGAAATAAATTATCAGACAAGCGATTGATGAAATTAGTAGACCAGTGTCGTACCAAACAAGTGTTGGATTACATTCGCGAACATTGTCCTAAATCTTCTCAAACACAGCCCGTTGCTGGGAAAGGTAAAGGAAAGAAAGGCTCAAAGAAACTAGAAGAGCTGCCACCAGCAGAGGATAACAGCTGTGACCTTTATCATTCATTGAAAATCATACATGTGGAAGATGAAATACCAAAAGTTAAGATAGTAGAGGCTGAAGTGAATTCTGTTCGGCCATACATCTTGTGTTGTATAGTTACTGATTTGTACATGACACAGGCACTATTTAAGAAATTCATCCAGATGCAGACAAAGTTACATGATACAGTTTGCGATAAACGTAATGTAGCCACAATTGCTACACACGATTTGAATAAAATTGCACCAGGTAATTTTTTGAGAAATTTGAAATCTTGAATAGTCGTTGGTAGATCAATTACTAGAATATTTGTCCAGTTACTGAAATGTCATCACACAGTCAAAAAGAAACTGTATTGTTTTACTTTAATATTCAATATTCAACACCCACTAATCGGTTCACTGTAAAATAAATAATTTCAGGTGACCTAGTGTACACAGCGAAACCACCTTCAGTGTTGAAACTGATCCCATTGGCAAGGCTAAAGCCCTACACAGGAGAGCAGTTGTTCCAACAGCTTACTGCAGAAGCTGATGCACTAAGAAAAGAAAAGAAGAGGAATGTTTACTCTGGAATTCACAAGTAAGCTTGAATGTATAAAAGAGTTTGCACACTGCAAATTAAGATTAATCCTAACTAGATAATAATGAATACAATGAAATAAGTTTCATAGTATTCCAATTCATAATTTATTCTCCATATTCTATTCCATCTAAGGGGTAGGCCGGTGCTCTGGCAGTGAGGATATCAATAGGCTGGTAATTGGCTCCTTGGTTAGAACATGCTTATGCAAATTCTAGCAATCCAATGACAGGTGTCCAAAAAGATATGGAATAAGCATGGTTGGTCAAGTGTACATATGTACAATTGTACATAAACTAAATTTCTAGTAACCTATATCTGGTTTTTAAGTTAGATTGAATATAACTTTCATTAGAACAGAATAAAAGATGCATACAATTTCCTGAATTTTTGGAGTTGCAGAAAGAAGACTGAACCAAATGAACTCTGAAACACTTCCTATAATATTTAAGTAATTATGTTCTAGGTACCTGTATCTATTGGAAGGCAAGCCGAAATATCCCTGTTTTGAGGACACAAGCGGCAAGGTCATTAGTTTCCCACCCATTACTAACTCTGATGAAACAAAGGTAAGTTAAGATTTCCTTGCAGTTGTATTATAAAATATCCCACACAGTTACAGAAGACCTATATGTATTAATAAGTTACACTGTACACAGCTCATAAGTTAAATTTTTTGAAAGATACGAAACTTTTTGCTAAGCTTTGTTCCGCTTTTTTGCGCTAGCTAGTTTTTCTAGGGTGTGTATTCAGTGGGCTAGAAGCCTAGGACGATTGCTTCACCGACCAGCGTTGGACTGTTGATTTTTATGTGCGAGGCTTTCACGTCCAAGCACACTAAGCCGTGATGATGCCGTACGCTGAACAGCTATCTCCAATACGGCGTTTAAAATAATACTTCGACAAATAAAGAAACATTTAGGTTTTCATGTTTCTACAAAAAATGTACGAAATTAGATCAGTAGCCGAGGGAAATTGTTCGAAGATATGTTTTTTATCCACATTAACAAAACGCGCGACAAGCGAGCACGAAGATGCGTTTTAAGGGAGCAAGGCAAACGTAATGAGGTACCTCTGAGCGGCGTCTCTCTGATATACAGCTTGTAAAATTACGAGAAAATAATTTAAAAATACTCAAATATTCGGAGGACAATTCGATTCTATTCCCTGCTACAAGAAAATTATATAAAGATTCAATATTTTGTAAAACCTTGTTAGTAACTTTTCGCCAAATGTGGACGCGGACACACAATTTTCAAAGAAAATTAACAATAAGAGTAAAACCCTAATTTTACCAAAGACAAATGAATTTGTATGTTATGATGAATAAGCAAATTGAAGAACAACAGGCAAACAAAATAACTTTATTCCTCAGATTTAAAAAAGAATATTAAATGGCAAGCAAAGGGACTTAATTTCTCACATTCAAAACGAGAAATTAATGAGAAGAACCATACAAATTGACTTGATTTCTCAGATTTAAAACAATAAATGAAAAGAGCAAATGGCCAACAAAAGTGACTTAATTTCTCAGATTCAAGATGCAGAGGAACCTATGAGAGCAAAGGACAAGCAAAATCACTTTATTGCTCAGATTCTAAACAAGAAATTGACTTACAAATTGACTATTTCTCTGATTCTAGACAAGAAACTTATGGAAGCAAGAGGAAAATAAATTTACTTGATTTCTCAGATACAAAACAAGAAATTACAAGGGCAAAAGACAAGCCTAAGTGACTGATATCGAAAAAAACAGATAAAAAAATTGCCTAGTTAAGTACTTAACAGTAATGAAAAGAAACATTAATAACGACAACAAATGATATTAACTGCGCATAGAAAATATAGCAACGCACCTTGTCACTTCCACACTTAGCTGTACACTGATGCATACGAACGCGGGCGGGCGTGTGCAAGTCGGGATGGAATGCGTCATCAAAGGCGGCCATATTGTAATTCTGGGAAACTCGCGTCCATGATACTTTTTTGAACGTGGTATTTTCAAAAGAGAAAAAGATAATTAAATAATTAGGATATACTGCCTGTGTTTATCCGTGGATCGTTCTAAACCTAACAATTTAATACGTCCCCCAACGCGACGTGTATTTTTTTTAGAATTAATAATACATATTTACTTAGATATTTTAAGGTCGACTTTATTCTATTATTTTTTACTTTACAATGGAACTTAGGTTTTTAAAGTTAGGTTGGGGATTATTTTTATTTTTTATTATTAACAATTTCGGGAAGATCGTGCATGCATGCATATTTGCGTAGAAAAATCAAAATGTTGGATGCAGATAACTAAAATTCACATTTTATTTCAGTAAGCAAAAAATATAAACATAATTAACAGTTTAGGTAACATTTGATATTAAAGTATAATATTTTTAATTTTATGTAATCCATATGACACTTGGAGAAGGCTAGTCTAAATCTTATCTAAATCTAAAATCTTATTTAAATATAAGCTAAATCTTATCACCTAGAAATTGCTAAATCTTACTGCCCATGCGACCTAACACAAAATAATACAAATTTTCGTGTTCGTTTTTAAAATGGCGGCTTTTAGGCTCTATTTACAAAAAAAAAAACCTTTAACTGTCGAGAGCCTCTTAATCTGAATCATGTATTCAATCCTTAGTACTACTCGTGTGAATTCACATGACTCACGTGAATTGTTAAAGTTTAAATAGCTAAAATCGCGCGAAAGACAGCATCACGTGGTATTTGTGATGTCACACGCCAGTAAATATGTCAAGGCGCCATAATCTATATCAACTATTTATTTAAGAAGTAAACAGATAATATTACAGAGGGGAAAATGAAGTTAAATTTTATGTTTTGTATTTGTATCTACTCTGCACGCGTAGCATGACGAACTCGAGAACGTTTTGTCTACATTCAAATGTCACTTTTCTCGGGTGCACCCATACGATATCTCACTCTCGACCCGAGAAAGTAACATTTGGGTGTAGACAAAACGTTTCTCGAGTTTGTTATGCTACACGTGCTGGTTTTGTTTATAAAAATGAGCTACAAATTGTATGTATGTATACAAATTTTGCGTATCCCTAATAAAACTATTTTGAAATGACAGCTTCCCGTTTACGTGTGATGTCACTTGACGCATGATGCCCTTTGTTTAGTATTTTTGAATCATTCGTCTGCAGGGTGGCCTACATGATTCGAATTTTGTTCTTCGTATTGTATGGAAAATATTTTTTGTCATTTAAGTAAAGAAAAAAGTGTAATTGTAAACAAAATGGCCATAATGGTAATTTATTCATTCATTTCAATCTCATTCGTTTCATGTTTTGAGGTTTATTCTATAACTCGCATAGAGCGTTCGATAAATGACGAGTGGTTCATGCCATGAGTGCTTCATACCACTCGTTGCAGTCGAGCGAATTAGAATGACGAATTTGTTATGGCGAAAAAAAAAAAAACAGTAGAAAACGAGCGCTCGACGCGAGACGAATGATTGGAAAATAGAGCTCCAGGTGGGTGCGGTGCGACCACCTAATTGTCAAGCCATGACTCTACCTATAGGATTATGCTAAGGCGATATATCGATTCATTTTACTACTTCGAGATAAAATTTCTCGATCCCAACTTTGGGAATATTGTTTTTTAATTTGTTCTAAAGGAATACAAGAACATTTAATTTTAATGTTTTATCAACAGATGTCAGTTGAGACGAAGAGTATGTTGCTAGAGGTAACGTCAAACGCGTCGCTCGGCGCCTGCAAAACTGTCATGAATAAACTTATTCAGGAATGTCTGATGCTCGGCATCGGTGACAATCCTGATGAACCAGACGTCACTTATCACAGCCTGACTGTTCAGCAGGTATAAAATATTATATTTCCGTAACTACCCACACTAAATTTACGCCAGCGAAACAAGATAAATAATATGACTATAACTTGTTAGGTGTTCGAAACATTTTGGTTTGGAGAAATTAAATATTAGTTTTTAGTTAATTTATTGCTGTAATCATTATTAATTTTAGAGGAAGATATTGAAAAAATGAAAATGAAAAAAAAAAAAAACATTTACCTTATATGATAACAAACTTATTACTAATTGCTGGAATCACCTTTTAAGCATGGCAATGTCTGTGCCAGGATACTCCGAATGATTATACTAGATTGCTCATTGACAGCTTTTCTGTACCACGAATCAGGCAACTACAGCCGTTCAGCACTTAACAGGTTATAATAAATAACAGGGTATATAACGTGACGTTATAATAATAAATAAATATAAAGATTTAAATAACATTATCCTTTTTCTTCGTAGATGAAAGTTGTAGATTTAGAAGGCAACCTCAAGAGCGTTTATCCGTCAAGAACCGACTGTGTCTACGAAGACTGCAACGATATAAAAGTTTTCCGGCTGCCGAAGAAATAATAACCTTACTTACAAAGATACAGATTACATTTTAGAATGTCTCAAGAAGTTACAGCCTTAACATAGTTCAGTAAGATTTATTTTTCTTTCTAAGATTTCCTCACTGGTTATTTGGGATTATTAGATTTTTTTTTTCGTAAATTTCCATTAAAAGAAGAAAACAACTTGGTAAGAACTTAAGGGTTAGTTTTAAAGGTATCAGTTAAGTACTATATTCTGGTTTAATATTAACAATAATCTAGAATTTCCTAAATACCATTCGGTGGACATTGTAATTGGATCTTAACTGTATTTGTGAAACTGATGCTAAGATTGTGATATTTTCCATGTCTTTATTGATCATATGGGGTAATTAAATAGGTGATTTGTGTTGGAAAAAAGTAATAATGTCCCATCAGTGGGGAAATATTGGTGATGAAAGAAAGAGTGGTTAAGGTTATAACTAATCTACTTCTCCAGATATTATTTTTGTAATAAACAGTAAATAATTTTGAATATTTTTACTGTCCTAACGGTTTTCCGTTTTTATTTAATTTTTTTTCAAATTGACAATACATTTATAACTAAATTCCTGCAATCAATTTTAAAATAAGGTGTCATTAGATTAAGGTTTAATTAAAGGAGTCTTAGACTACACTTAATTGGTAAATTTTGATTTATAATGGAAACGTGACGATTTCAAGACTTATTTTATTGGGTTTTGCCATACCATGATCATACTATGAATGTATCAATCACGAAACAAATTATACGGTTAACTATACATACTACACCGGAACAATCGCGTGCTATGCCCGTACGTAAACCGTGTGTACGTACGTATACGTACAGGCGTACGTAAACCCGTATAATACCCGCTCACAAAAGTGACTTACTATTATGACAGCTAGGTTCTATACTAAAATAAATGTAATAACTTTATACTAATTGTAATATGAAAACTAATTTCATTAAATTTTCTTCATACTCGATTACAAAATTAATATTCATCGTATTAAGGTTTAACATCGCTTGGAGAAACAGCTCTTTTGATAGACTAACATGCTGTTGACTGTACTTTGTGTATGTGTGCTATTATTTTTTTAGAGATCCAATTTGGTGATTGCCAAGTCTCGAATCAGCTAATTTCCTTATTCATCAATAAGTTTCTTAATATTATTTTCTATAATCGTGCTTACGCATTCTAAGCGGAATTCATGTATAATTATTTTTTCTATAAATTACAAGTCTTGAAGTAATTTCACAATACTTTTTTTTGTTAATATGACGTCATAAATGATGCCTCGAAAAATTCGCATATAATAATTGTTGATAATAAAAATATGTGATGTATTTAATCATTTATCCAAAAGTATGTTAGTGAATGTACTATTATTTTTTTGTAATATTTACCTTATTCTATGGTAAAAAAGTTTATTTGTGTTACGTTGATTTAAATTAGAAAATATTTATGTTTTAGAGTGCTATTGGAACATGTTTGTCTATAACTATAATATTGCTACTAGAAATTAGCATAGTTTTTCAAGTAAATATGAGTTTTGTTTTCAATAATGACAAAAATATATAATATATAAGGTTTATTCAAAGAAATGCTCTAAGCTGTCTTATAAAGCTCTCATTTTGTTGCTTTTGTAATTCATAATAAGACGTTTTTTCTATGGCTGTATTTTCAAGATAAACTAATTCATACTTAAAAATTAAGTATGTAATATGATTACAATTGCTTTTTTTTATCTTAATATTTGTCAAGTATTTTTTCAGGTCAGTGTTTAAGTACTTGTGCTTTAAGTTTAAGTAATAAATATATTTCATTAAAATTTTTACTATCTGTGATGTTAGGATGTGCTGCACATCGGTTAGAGAAAAATTGTAATGATGTTTTTGTTTTTCCGTTTTTTTGATTAAACTATTTTTGTGATAAAGTTGTTTTTCCTTCTTAAATTATCTTACGTAAAAAATGGATGACCCCCTTTGGCCCCTTATTTGTTGTTAGTTCTTCATGAAACAACGAAAATTACCGTAGATTTTATTGAGGTTTGCTACTCATAGAACCTCAGTAAAAGATGATCTGGAAAGTTTTTTTAGAAAGACTGATCTCAGTCCAGCAGAGTCACAAGAACTTGTTTATTCCCGAAACTATCGAACTTTGCTATTTTTCCCTATTTCGAAGCAGATTGATAAATAAGAGGAACTATATGGATCAAGATTTGATTTCAAAATCAAAGAGGGTGGGGCTACCAACTTGATCCATACCTGACTATTCTAATCGAATGTTCAAGTCTCACTACTGTGACGAAATACTGCTATAACGTAATATGGACAAATAGCCGATTTTTTTATCAATTGACAAAGCTTTCTTTAGTGTCTATAGCAAACGCGCTGTGGGAATCTGCAAGCGTCATGCAATATTTGATCCGTAATTATTCCGTTTTTGAAATTTTTCATTTGAAATTAATGATTCTTAGGTATGTCTTAATAAATAGAATTACCAAACTTAAAAGATAAGTTAACAATATTATCTATTATTGGTGTGTTTTAATCTAACTGATTTGTCACCTAATCCATTCTGGGCCGGTGTGGTGTGCAATTTGTACCCAACCATAGGAAATGCCTGGTGATGAAGAATTTCATACAGGGAGTGGTTGTGCGGACGACTATGTCCGTGTTGCCACTTTCAAGCGGGGGACAGACATGATTCCATTGTTATAGAAATTTTGGGGCTTTGCTCAAAAAACTTCGCTAAGTGGTTTTGGCAGTCCCCACGTGATGTTAACCTTACACTACCTATAGAATTTTGAAGAGACCGAACAGGTGGATATCTGATAGTGCAAGGTCAGGACTCTACGGCGGATGCATTAACACCTCTCAGCCAAACTTAATTTTTGCTGAATGGCAAAAGATGTGTGAGGTATAGCGTTATCATGATAAAACACCCATTTAATTGATTAAATCTCAATTTTCAAATGCGCCAAAACTGTGTTGTGGTCCAACTACGTCGAAGCTACTGATCTGACTTCACTTTTCAAAAATGGCATCTTTTTTATCCTTAACAGGGCGACCGAAATGACGTGCATCTTCGACAACAAATTTTCCGGACTGAAAACGCTTAAACCAAATTTGTGCTTCTCTCACAAAACGGCGCTAGGTCCAAAACCTCACAAATTTAGCATTGAATTTCTTCATTAGATTTAGTCATTTTGACAGCAAAAAAAAAAAAACAAATGAAAAATCGCACATTTTCTTAATCTGAATTTGGAGTTATCTTACAAATATCGAAACTAGCCATATACATACAAGTGGTATAGACAGCAAGATTTTATTACAAGCTTATACATACTATATGCGAAAAGATTCACCAACCTAATATCACAGTTTAATTGTTGATTTAAACAACATACAGTTAAAGTAACTGTTAGACTGGGAATTTATACTTAAAATGTACTTGATCTCTACAAGTAACATTACATAGTGTTAATTAATGAAATTTTCCTGTATAGTGAATGCAAAATTGATTAAATATAATAATCAGATAATGTTTTTCCGTTGGATTATACATATTTAAACTATTAAATATGTGTTTTATTTATCTATGTTTTATACTTATCTGCTAATACTATTTCAGCAATATAAATAAAATCTTTTCATAATTAGTTACGTTATTTATTTTCCGTGATGCGGTGTGCAGCTGTATTTTTTTTGGCGTTAGCCGTGACAACGGTAAATATTAATTTTATTAAATACGAATTGTTTTCTCCAACTTTTCCCGCGTAATAGACTACCTATGACACCCGCGTAATAGAGAATAGAGTTAGTTCTTGTTTGGTGTTCTAAAAGTTATCTTAAGAGTTATTAGATCTCGTTGCAAGTTATTAATGGTCACAAAAATAGTTTTTAGTGATATTGATTTTTATCATTACGAAGTATAAAGAAGTTGTAGAAAATTTGACAAAATATGTTTTGATGTGCTCAACCGTTATTGAGATTTTTGAAATAACATTTAAATTTTTAATCATAAATATTTTAATAAATACAAATATTAGTTACTTAAACTGTTTTGTCCTATAGAATTTATTAATTGTATAGATTTTTATTTTAGAATCGAAATGTTTGAATCTTAATTATTTATTAAAATTTGTATAATGGCTTTCAAATCGAAGTGCCGGTAGTATTTTCCCACCCTGATATTCTATATTTACGCCACGTCGTTTAAAATTTCTCTCAGACCATCTCAATACGCCACATTATTAGTCTTATTATAAAACGAGGTCAAATTTTAGCCATATAGGCAAACTAGGCAACAATATCCCATGAATTTGCCACGGGCCTCAATTGGTATACATAGTTACGCCACTGGGGGGCGGCATAGCATGGTATAATCTGTTTTGCTCTAATTATTTGAACCTACGCAGTACCTAAAAAAATACTTGTAATTTGTAGTCCAGAAGAAAATATACTCGTCTTTTATTTTGTTGTGCTTTTTATGGGAGTCCAGTATTTTGCCTAGGCTGCCAAGTTTCATTAGACCGGCCGGATTTAAACGGTGATCCAAACAAAATAAGTTTACACGTATCAATTTGACGTTTTTATGGTGTCGTTGACAAATTGCTTTAAGTGACCAATAGATTAAAACAAGAACTAACTTTTGTCTGCTTTAGTCCTGAGATTATTTCATAATTTTGAAGCTGTTTTTACCAAATAAACAAGAATTTGAATGAAGTTTTGAAAGAAATTAGTTCATTAAAATTCTTGTCTATTATCACTAAAAGCACTAAAAATGCAGCTAACTAGATGGCGACTACTAAAAGTTGATTATTGATTATTTTAACGAATGGACGAAGATAGTAATTTCCGTTCCTTTTAACTAACAACAAAAGTAAAATTCGCAAAGTTCGAAACTTAGATATCAATACAAATACGAAAAAGTAAAATGAGTTGTTTATTGAGTTATTATAAATATTAATTTACTTTTATACATGAAATAAAAGAGGAAGGGTTGTTATGGAGAAATCAAGAAAGTAGGTACCGTCGCCACATCTTGTCAATGTTTTTTAAATACTTCTTCATTACTTCTTTCGACTGTAGATGAGAATGTAAGAAATGCTAAATATGAATATAAAAAATCCCAAGAACGTCACATACTTAGCATTGACGATTCGCTCATCAATAACGATTAATTTTATCTATATATTTAGGTTATCTTTAAATTATATTATAAGTCAGTATTAATCCTCTATGATAATATAAATGAATATTTATTTGGACTCATCATATCTTTACTAATATTACAAACGGGTATAGTTTCTAAATTCGCTTATTTTCAGGGAATAGTATTCAGAAATAATGATTCGATTATGAAATTTCGCCAACGAGAAGCTATATACGTCAGATGATGTAGGATATAACCTACAGCATTCAATAGCTAGTGAAATAATAAAATCTTTACGTTTTCAGGCACGCGCTGATAATTTATTAACGTTTCCAGAATTAGCGCGAGGCAAAGGTAATATTATTTATTTATATTTATTATCCTAATTTCATTTCAAAATATTATATAGAATATCGAATTTAGTGACTTAATCTGCAGTGATATTCTGTAATAAAAAACAGTCTCGAATTCGATGTCGAGCACAACGTTGTCACAGTATAGAGAGGGGGTTTATTAAATTAAACCTATTTGAAAGGGTAATACTGTTTTTCAATGAAGCATTGCGTTGACAGTGCTCTGTCGTAGTCCAGTTCGAGATTGCTTTCAGACTATAACAGTGACGGGTTCGGTGCTTCGTTGTTGATATTAAATGAAACGGCTGGCTAAGTTTGATAATTAGGTATATTTATGGATAGACAAAAAAACCGTAACAACAAAAAAATATATAAAAACCAGTCCTTATGTATGTATTACATAAATTACTTATATAACAATTACATACCCCGTAGAACTTACAATATTAAAACATTTAACTATAATTGATTTTGAACATCTATTTTAAATATTTGATCATTACACTCTCATGTTATGTGGGTACTGGCAAGGTTTAATACTTATGCTAATGCTCAGGAGCTTATTAATTACTGAAGTATTTGTCATTTTATTTAGAACCTGTATTCATAATGTAAAAGCTGGGTTTAAACTCGTCAAGCCCATACATAGATCCGCCCCTGGTACTGGTAGAAGAATTTTCATGAACTGATATTCAGAAAGGGCATATCGCGTTTCAAATTACGAATAATGGATAATAAAAAAGCAAAATAAACGGTGTGGAAAACAACTTTTTCCAACCGGGGTCGATACTTGATATTGCGCCCTTAGCCTCTCCCTCCTCGCACATATTTTTCTATTATCATATTTTTACAAGTTATATTTTGTAGTTGTATTGTATTATCACAATTTTGGTGCACCCGTGACCTCGCTCTCTCCGCTTGCTTTTTACAAAAAAGCATAGCAGATTAGCAGGGCTTAATACAGTACTTATTAATTAAATATCTTCGAAGTTAAAAACTGCTCTGTTACAGAAGCAAGGGTCATTATGGTGGAGTGCTCCCTTTCTATTGAATATTTTGCCAGAGAAACATAAAACTATATTTTCTCTCATAACACCATCTTTTGGTGGATGAATACTAACAATGAATACAGACTTGGCTAGTTTGGGACTCCTGCGAAAATTTGGGCATTTAAAAATGTTAAGTGCACCAAATTGGAATGTTGAAGAAAATAGAAAGTCACTTATTTTTAACATTTTGTGTGTGTGTGTGTTTAATTTTTTTATTGTTATCTGTTGTTTTACAAATAAAATAAATAAACTGAATAACATTGAAATATTGTCCAGTCAATACGCGTATTGTATCCGGATGGGAGGCCACCGAGGGCCAGCTGCCTCACCAGCTGTCCATTAGAATGATTAACAGTACTGGCCAGGTCTTCGCCTGTGGTGCTTCTATAATTCATAATGAGTGGGCACTGACAGCTGCTCATTGCACTGCTGGGTGAGTTATTATATTAATAAGTGTGATAGCATCCAGTGCCGAATTAAGCCAGAGCGGGGACCGTAGCAAATCACCCTCTATCCCTGAAAAATAAAAGTCTTCCTTTGCTTTCCGAATAACACAACAAAACTAATCTGTGACTTGAGTTTTATTTGTCCGTTTATGTTTATACTTAAAAATACGACTAGACAGAAGCGTGGCTTAATTTATTTCTTGCATTATTACGAGGCTCCCAAATGCGCGGGGCCCGTAGTATTTGCTACGTGGCTAATCTGGCATTGACGGCATCTTTCATTGCCTCTGACGATCTCTGAGACTGTTGTGTATTCTTCAGTTGGTTGTATAAATCAAAACTTACGAAGTACTTCGAACCTCTTTTTATTTCTAAGACCGGAGTACATTGCCTGCTACACACAATAATTTATAGATTACCTCAAGATAACAAATAGAAAAGTAGCCCTTGCCGAATTTCTTGCGTGTTCTTCTTGTTATAAGGTCTCCCGCCACAGAAATAATATTTTTACATATCTCCCGACGTACATTTACGAACCGATGGCATAGAATTTTGACTTTCAAAAGTATTTTGCTTAGAGTAAAGTATATCAAAGCAAACAAAGAAATAACAAAATCTTTCCTGTTTATAATATTAGTAGGTTTATTATTAGGTTAATTTATTATAAGAGGTGATTTTTAACAACTTAGATTTTGAATTTGATTTGATTTTATCTATGTAAAGATTAAGGAATGTAACAGTGGCTGAGGTGCGATATCACTTCGAGGCCCAAGAAGGCCTATTCTCTTTTCGTAAAACGATTTTTTTTGAAACACTATTATGACTCGAATGGGTTCCTTTTCGATAACTTATTACGCAACAGAGGATTGACACTACTTCTGTTGCACATCATAAGAAGGATTCGAAATTTTTCGAGTTTTAATTCGCGTACAAACAGAGTAGGTCCTCTGATTCGATTAAAAAAAAACCTTTCTATGGGTATTATCTGCTTGAGTCTGGCTGGCTGTCTTACTTTATATATATTATATATATATATATATACATGTGGTGTTATTAATTATTTACAATATCAATTACTTTATCTATGAACAGAAGACAAACCTAGCTGATGATTTTCATAAACCTAGGTCCTAAAAGGAGACTGCAAGCACAACATTAAGTTATTTATTCATAACTGACCACATTTAACACTAAACGCTTAAGAGATGCTTTTAGTAACCTAAAATTATATGAAAACCTTCACCAAACAATGAAATAGTTTGTCTAAAATCATCATCATTCTTTATATCAGCCCATGATCTACAAAAATATCCAAACAAACTCATTTGGATATTTGCGTAGATCATGGGCTGATAATAAATAACTTAATGTTGTATATACAACATTAGTCTAGAGATTTTTAGTCTAGTCTTAACAATTTTGATTGATTACCTATTTGTGTTCCAGACGCATTAATTTCGTGATCCGAGCTGGTACAGTGAACCTCACACGTCCATACTACATATTCGAAACCTCGGAATTCTACAATCATCCGCTGTACAACGAGAACCTAGCAGGGATAGTTCAGCCCAATGATATTGGTGTATTGAAGTTTGGCAGGTGGTTGGAGTTCAATGGTAAGCAATTGGTTTCTAGTCGCCAATTTTTGTGCGATTACTTTATACATTTTTAGCATTTGCACATATATATCAATAATATTAGACAATTATTGTATGGTCTTATAGATTTACGCAATTCTGAAATTAGATATCATAGATCAACATATAAATTCGTTTAAATATTCGTTTTCTCATCGTTCTGACATCGATTCTTTCCGACTTGGATAAATCTTCCAGATTTTTCAGTTTAACTATATTCAGTTTAACTATATATCGTTTATAATTCCCTTCCTTCTGAGCAGGAAAAAAATATACGTAGCAGCAGGTTGGGCTGCAAGATAATACTTCTCTCGCATCCTCCACAAGTCAACCTTTTCATAAAAGAAAGCCTGTTTGCGTACTTTTCAATTGAATTTTCTTTAGTACTACGTCCTCGATTTGGACGTGATATCGTTGTCGAAATTCTCCCCTTATCAAAATATCCTTATTTATCTGTTTCCTTAATCGTCTTTCAATCATCCTTTCAATGTGGCTAAACCATTTAAGCAAACCTTTTTTCAATTCTTCCATACTGTTACCACCCTTGCACTCAATTTGACTCCTATCATTCTCATTTCTACTGCATTTATTTACATTTCTTCAGTTTTCATTGTGTTTCTGTCACATCCAACTTTCATTTCGATACCGTATTATTGGAATCGTAACTCCGTCACATACTTATAATCAGCTGATTTTTACCAGCTCTTTTTTGGCTGCCCGTGAAGGCGGGCAAGGCTTCACCATAATTCCATTTCCAATTCTATGTTATTTTTATATTTACCATCTAAAGACATGGATATAAAAAAAACATAATATACTACACTAACTTGTAAAGACAACCCAGTGTCATATATTATGTTTGAGCTAAATGGCACAACTATTTCCCCTACTGCATAACATTTTCATAAGTACATATATCCAACTCAATTGTCTGGTTTCGTAGTCAAAGCTCTGGCAAAGGAATCGCATTGACTGTCCCTCCTTAAGATGGCGTCTTATCTCCTCTTCAATTCTCTAAATTTATATATTCCATAACTAATATGCTCCCTTGTTTCTATCAAGTTTACCCTAATGTCTTACAAATTTATACTTAAGAGCCATTGTCGCACATATTAGAGGCGATTACTTATTAAAAGTGTATTCATTGCAGACCTCGTCCAACCGATCAGGATCCAGCGTTCAGTCGATAAGGACAACAATTATGATGGTTACCGCATGACGGCGAGTGGTTGGGGTAACACTTGGACTAGCGGTAAAGTGGAATTGTTTCCTCTCTTTTTAAGTTTACTAAGCATACCCTGACGAAGCACAGGCCTTCGACATTGAGGAAGAGACAACAGGTTGTACGGACCAATCTACAAGTCCAGTGTAGATTAATCAGTTCTAATCTAATGACTACATACGCGGCAGAGTTTGCACTTTTAAAAACGACGTTTGATAATATTTTACTTTTTCGTCTTTAATTTCCATATGAAGTTTGCAATATATATAAAATTGGCTTTAAGACAACTCTAGGTTAGGGGCATAGCTATAATTCGACGTATCTTCCGAAGCATATAAAATGAGAATATAATTTTTTTTTTAAATTTCTCGATCGGGCTCAACGAAATGCAATGCTTAAACTTCTCAATCGCACACCTATTGTGCTAAGTCCTTAGCCACTGAACTCGTGTAGGAAATGAACAATAAAACTTTTTTATACAATAAGAAGATTTACTGACGTCTTTGTAGGCTCTTCTCCCGAGAATCTGAATTGGGTATTTCTGCGTGGAGTGACCAACTTGTTCTGCTGGCTGTCTTTCGGTGGCAGTAGCATCATTCAGCCGTCTACTATATGCGCGAGTGGCTATAATGATACGACTCAGTCTACTTGCCAGGTAATACGGACATCTTAGCTCAATCAGTATTTCTAAAGGCATACAAATCAATTGTCAGCCAGTGTGATCATTCATCATGCGATGGGTTGGTATGTGCTATCTCGGAATCAAAAGTAAAGAAACGCAAAGGCGGTGGAAAATTTATCTAGTATTTTTATCATTAATAATCGGAAAACAGAAGTATTCGAAAAATACGAGAAGGTATATTTTCCAAGGGTAGTAAAGTAAACATTATTTTTTTTATTTTACAGTAAACTTAACCTTGTAAGTGACCTCGTTTGTCACAAAAAGATCTAAAACGATCTTTTTCCAAAAAAAAAAATAATCTAAAACCTTATATAAAATCTAAAAGAGAATAAATAAAATTATAATTTTATTTTTATTCTGACGACTTTTCGGCATGACCACCATATCCTCGCAAATATATTTTTTTAATTTGTTGACTACCTTTGAAGTTTTTGATAATTATTTGTTGATTTTCTGTTGTCTGATGTTCTGTTGTTCTGATGTCTGTTTTGGCTGTCGATAGAATCGGCAAAGGGTGATGTTTCACCATAAGCTCTATTTACTTACTGATTTCCAAGGTTACTTCTCGACTAGACTATCGCTTAGCTTATTGCTTCTTTGCAGGGCGACAGTGGTGGTCCTCTGACAGTGATTGATCAAGACGGTAAGCCCACACTTGTCGGTGTCACCTCGTTCGTGTCTAATCAAGGTTGCCACGTCGACCTGCCTGCTGGTGAGTGTTGCCCCTGAAACTTATTGTCAGATCAGGCAGTATTTTTATACATTAAACAAGTGCAAAAAACTACACAATTTTTTAAAGGCCTTAATTATCACTACTATTATTATGTCAATCCTTTGTAATGGGTCCAGGCAAGCTGGATAAGGATATTTAAGAAAAAATAAAAACTGTTACTTCAACATTATTGGATTTACAATATTTCCTGATGGTATCATTATCTTCAAGGATGTTGCAACCCGAGAAAGTGGTACTACCCGCTATAAATGCCGTTTTACAATTTCACAATGACGACCTCCGTGGCCGTGGTGGGGTTTCAGATTTCAATACTCTAATAATTATTTTTTGTGTAAATAAATTTTAACAATAATGTACTTTTCCATTGTGAAGGTTTCTGCCGTGGTGGATATTATCATTCGTGGTACAAAGAGGTTACTGGCATCGATTTTGACTGGGATTTCGATCAAGATTTGACTAAACCTGAGTCAAGTTCCTGAGCCACCTACGACTCAAGTTCCTGAGCCACAAACGACTGAAGTTCCCGAGTAGCCTAGTAGAATTAGAGATGTCAAATCTAATTTACCTAACATTTGTGTAAAATTTTAATGTGACAATCCTTCTGTATAAACATTGATATTGAAATTATGCGACTTTTCATAGTTTTTGTTAACCATAAAGTATTTTATGTACTTATAATAAATTTAAATGACGCAAGCAGTTGTATGAGCATATTGAAATTTATTTTGTATTCTTATACTATATATTATACATTTAAATGTATGGTGGTTTTTGTAAATTACAAATAATAAAATAAAAAATTCCAAAGAACTTGTAAAGATACTTATAATACCGGCTATTAGACGCGATTTTACACTGCCCTGTGCCGATGTTTCGATGAGACTGGAGCAGCATTACGCCTCTGCATCCGAGGTGAATCTTCTTCCAACCTCAAATTTTGCATCCAACAACAGTCACAAACAACACTAACGGTGTCCCTATTCCACACATGAGTCGTATTCTGAAGATTTACCTTTTGCGAAAAAAGAGGTTGTGTTTTAGCAAATACTGGATTCCAATTGTGACAATTTATATCCGTCTCTCCGATTGCAGTTATTAGTGTTTCTTAATTTCAATCGCTTCACACACTCCTCTTTAATAAAAGTGGCGATCTGTGGAGAGGCTGTAAAATACGATCCAGTGATTGGTGCCCCTTTCCAGTAGGTTTTTCGCAATGATAGACTTACCCGACTGACGGTTTTTGACCACAGCTATGTGTTCTTTTCTAACCCTTTCCTCGATAGATCTCTTCGTTTGACGTATTATAGGAATCATCACAGCTGCAGTCGATTTTGTAAACCTCCGGCGTTTTCAATGCCAGAACATCCTTGGGAGTGCCTACGATATCACTCACTCTTATGCCTGGAGTATAAATTGTCAGAATGGAGTATTCACGTAATACGTGGCCAATCTTGTGTCCGTCACTCCATTGACAAAAGGCATATAGGCTGGCTGTCTATTCACCATGCTGTCAAATGGTCACAGAGGTCGTATGCTCTGTCCTTCAACGAATTTACTACAGATTGCAGGTGATGTGGGTGATGATGAGATTTTGCGTTTAGGTATACATCCGTGTGCAATGATTTACGGTATACACAGTGGTTAGGGATCCATCAGATCTCGCAGTTAATCGAACATCTAAAAAAGGCAAAGATCTTTCCGCTTCCATTTCGTATGTAACCGGAATATTCGGGTAAATAGAGTTTAGATGGTTAAGGCGTCGATTTACTTTCTGTTGGCCACCCTGACCACGCTAAATACGTCATCTACATACCTCTTCCAAATTTTCACTATATTAGAGACAGATTATAGTGCTTTTTCTTCATAATGCTCTATCCAAATGTTGGCAAGTACTGGGGCCACAGGACTTCCCATTGCTACGCCATCAATTTGAAAGTAATATTGACATTGGAAGAGGAAATAGCTGCCCCGCAGACAGTGGTCAAGTAGCTCAACATAGTTGAGCGGCATCTCGTTATCCGTTAGTATGCCTTTTACTACGTCCTGGCACGTCGTTATTGTTTACCATATGCATGCAAGCTCGTTGTAAATCAGGAGTAGTAAAACGGTTTTAATAATACTAAACACTTTTATATTGCATATTTAGTAATTAAAATTTAAAGTGAAGTATGGAGCTGCAGTTAATTTTTTACTAAAGAATCCAAAAGGAATATAACGAAAGTTTTATCCAAAGTTTCCATTTCAAATTTGTTACTATATTAATTGTATTTGAAAAAGTTATTGTTTAATTAGGTTACTTAATTTAAACCAAGAAATTATTCTAGAATAAATACTAATCATTGATATTAGTTAGTGATAATGTAAAATCTAAGGAACGGAAAGATATCGTAGAATTAACGGTAGAACGAGATATTGAACTTTCTTGTGAAGAATTAAGTAATTTAATTAAAGTATGTGTATATCGATCCCCCAAAGGTAATTATAGTGTTTTTGTATATATAGTGATGTTTTTTAAAAAGTTAGAATAAAAAAAAAATTTTGGTTATATGTGATGATTTTAACATAGATCTTCTCAAACCCAATACAACATCCGATCGTTTTCTCTCTTTGTTCAAATGTTTTAATTTAACAAATCAATTTCATGAACCAACAAGTCACTTGTTTGGATAATATTTTTTCAGAACGCAACCCAGCAAACAAATTAGTTTTTAATAATATTTCATCTGATCATTATGGCTTCAAAGTTACTTAACCTTAACCTTAACCTTAAAAAATAGAAGTTAGACCATTTACAAATAAACGCATAAATAATTTTCAATTAAATATAGATAAGAAAATCGTGCAGATATCACGGTCACATGACGACTCCGATGTACTTTATAGCAAACTTTTTTATCTCATAAAGAATGAATTCGATCGAGCTTTCCCTGCTAAAACGAAGAAAATTATTACGCAGAAACTACAGTTTTGTGACTGGGCTAAGACTGGTATTTATAATAGAAAACAGACTATATAAGTTGTACAATCTTAGAAAGCATAACCATTCTGAAAAAATCATATATTATGTAAAAGCTTACTCCAAACTATTAAAAAAAATAATTTAGTAAAGTCATTCCTCTTTTTAAAGCTGGTAATAAACAGGATTTTAGTAATTATAGACCCATTTCAATTCTAACGACACTAAGCAAGATTTTTGAAAAACTTATTCTGGAACAACTAATATCCTACTTTAATTCCAACGAATTTTTGCATACTAAGCAATACGGTTTTACCAAGGGTCGTTCGACAACAGATGCGAGTTTGCGCTACTAAAGCATATATTTAACGCATGGGAGGGATCACAAAACGCTCTAGGAGTTTTTTGCGATCTGTCCAAAGCCTGAGCTGTGTTTAGCATCAGACACTGTTTTACTGATTTAAAACACTGATTTAAACTGAATTACTACGGTATTAAAGGTGCTGCTCAAAAACTAGTGCTGTATCTAAGTTCCAGAACACAAACAGTAGATATAAACGGTGCGAAGTCGTCGGGGTCTCATGTAAAAAAAGGCGTTCCCCAAGGTTCTGTCCTAGGCCCATTTCTAATTTTAATATATATATAAATGATTTACCATTTTTTGTTAAAAACCTGTGTGAGATCGTGTTGTTTGTTGATGAGATTTCATTGATATTTAACATTGACAGAAATAAATATAATTTTGCCGATGTAATGCTCTCTCACGAGTGTTATCATGGTTCACAGTTAATAATCTTCAATTGAATGCTAAAAAACCAAATGTATTAAATTCACTTTACCTAATGTAAAAGTATAACCAGCTGAAATTAAACTCAACAACGAACATTTAGAGTTAGTTCAACAAAATTAACACTAGATTCAAAACTGCAATGGAACCCGCATATTTGTATATAAGCTGGTAAACTCAGCTCGGCTGCATATGCCATACGAAAAATAAGACAAATTACCGATATAGAAACTGCCCGGACAGTGTACTTTATTTATTTCACAGTATCATGTCCTATAGCATTATATTGTCAGGAACGGCAGCTGATATTCAGTCTCTCGCGTTCTATCAGTTGGGCTCGCGAAAATCTCTTAGAGAGAAATTTAAAGAAATTGGTATATTGACGGTTGCATCTCAATTTATATATAGTTATATACTTTTTGTCCGGAACAATATTAATGTGTATACGAAACATAGTGATGTACACAAACTTAACACTAGAAATAAAAACAAGCTAGTAATGCCTTCTTACAGGTTACAGAAGGTATTAGTTTCTTTCATGGTTAAGATATACAGTACTCTAACAAGATCCCTAGTGATGTATAAGATTTGCCAATATATCATTTTAAAAGTCGTATTAAAAATTGTCTACAAAGTAAGGGATATTATACCGTTAAGGAATGTCTAAATAACAAAAAGGCATAGTATATTAACCTTAATGTATTTAACTTTCCAATATTGTAATGGAAAGTGTTTTCATATTCTAATGAAGTAATTTTCTAATAAGACTTATCAGTGTGAAATACTATGGGAGTAAAAGCAGCCCTTGCTGAGTGTCTTGCCGGTTCTTTTCAGTATAAGGTCTCCCGCCGTAGTTTTGCGAACCGATGGCGTTGTTTTCGACTTTCACAAGTGCTCTGTAAAAGCCTAAACTGAATAAACAATTTTGATTTGACGGTAATGTTAATTAGAAATAAATAATATATAAGAAAATTAGGATTTCATTTATCTGTTTGTGTTTTCTATTAATACAGTTATTATTTATAGTATCCAAAACTCTTTAAGCCATCAAAGTGTGTAAATGTAACTCTGTCGTTAATTAGAGTTTTTAAATTATAATTTTAATAAATGTCTTAAATTATGTATATATTTTTTAACCTATTCGAAATGTGCTATTATTAAAAAAAAGAAACTAATCATATCTCTAAACAAATTATAATGACAACATAGTTTGGAACTTGAATCTGAAAATGAGAT